CTATCATCATCTGCTACACGTTCTTCAGAGGAAAGAGAAAAAGAATCTTTTTGTTCTTCTTCTTCAAATTCTCCACTATTAAAATTTAAGAAACAGTCAACGGAAAAATCTTCCCCGGAAGCGGCGCCGTTCATATACAAAAAATCATCCAAAGCAGCATGCTGGGTCCTTTGCATGGTTAGTTCTCCCCTTACACTCGATTTCAATGCTCTCGCTTCCATGCAGTACTCCATTTCTATACCCAAAGATAAGATTTTCCAATTAAGTTGCCAAAATCGTTAAATAGTTAAACCCTTTAATTTTTGAAACAAAAGAAACGGGATAAAGGATTATATATAATGATGATTTACCTGATAAAGATGAAGGAGGAGGAGAAAGAAGAATGAAAGTAGGGAACTGATGGAAAGGCAAGGAGGTGGTTGAGGCTTGTTCGTGGGCGAAACTAATGCTATGAGTTAATGGTTTATCTTTTTATGTCTCTCTATCAATTTTTCTTTTATTTTTTTATATTTATACAAAAAAAAATAAATATATTGGGTCTTGTTAAAAGAGCTTGACTATTGTGGGGTTGGCCTTGTTTGGACCGAATCCTTAATTTTTCACATAGATTTCTTTGAATTTTCGATTGCTTCACGCTTGACTAGTTGTGCTTATACTTATATTAATATAATGTTTGGTCCCTTCCAATAATGCGAAAACGAAGAAAGTTTCTCTAATTTCACTAACTGTTTTTTGAAATTTAAATGGTCAAAGTTGGTTTACTTGTTCTGGATGGCGGGATCAGGGATTGATGATTGGTCTGTGAGCCGAGATTGTGACAGGAGGCTTCTAGGCGCTAAGATAAGTTCAAAAACTACTGTAAATCGGTAATGGAACCATCCTTGAAACCGCCATCATTTTGTGTTTTTTCTTGCCTCTTTGTCTTCGAATTGACACTCGATTTTGAGATTATTTACAGGATTGGATTGCTTTGCCGCGTTAATCTCGGCCCTTTTTCGGTGGATTTTGCACTGCCATTCCCGCTCCTCCTTTTCTAATTTTGGCAGGTTCTATAAGCAAGCGCCAAGAGTCAAGCGTGTACGATCAACGGAAGAGAAAGCCTTAGGATTAAACATCGGACAGTTCACAACTTCGAGTGGCTCTCACGTGTTGGTACATCTGTGGGTTCTGTGATGTCGTGGCGTAATCGCGTGTACGTAGTTCACGCATGCAAAGCGTGTTGCGCCGTGGACTAGAAACTAGCTGGATTATTATTTGACAAAAGGAATATCTTAATATAACTTAATCCTCCGTTTATTTCGCATAAAATTATTTTCTTAGGAAACAAATATTTTTTACTCAAACTGTTTCAAAAAAATTAAAATTTGGGGAATAATTGATCTTATATTTCATTTATTATTTCTAGTAGGAGAAAATATGTAAAATGTGCATATCTTTATTATTACACTCTCAACTATATTTTAACGATTATTATTCCTTTAAAAGAGTTGAAAATTTTAAAATTCCAATTCTCTTTATTTATCTATATGTATAATCTATAATCGTTATCTATATATTTATACTATATATATAAGTATAGATATTGTCAAATTTTTTAGTTGAAGAAAATAGTTACATTTATTTATTATATTCTTACATTTTTACTATTATCAATATTAATAAGATTTATTAAATCTGTAAAAAAGAATTATAATTGTATTAAATAAGTTTCATATGTTTTTTTCTTAATTGAGTAATTTATAACTTAGTACCACAAAATTTCAATTATATAATTGAAACATAAATTATTTTTATATAATTATATTTTCTTAATAAATAATTAAATTTATATTTTAAAAATATTTATATTTTATATAATTAATATCTATAAATAAATAAAAAACAAATATTTCACTCACAAACACGTGACAATATATATTAAATTTTTAAATTTATATATATAAATGAATGTCTTTGGTAGAATATTTATATTATTATTTAAAATGTTATAAAATGTCATGTGAATGTATCATTAAAACATTTGATCTTATTATTAAATGAGAGTATATCTTAAAATGAAGGTTATTCTCTAGAGAATTCCAAAATCATCAAAATTGATTCGTGTCAAATAAGAACTATTCTAAGGATATTAAATAAATAAAAAAACATTGTTATGGGATGTGAGACGTAATATTAATATATGAAAAAGGTCAAACGTGGTATCTAATGCTTTTTTTAAACTTAAGGACCAAATTGTGAGAAATCAAAAATGGCCTAGGCCAAAACCCAAAAGGAATTTCTTTTTTTTTTTTTTGCTATATGGAAAGAAAGGCGGCTAAGGAGGAAATGTCCACGTAGATTTCGTGTTGGGCATGTAATTTACAAAAGAAACCGGCCGACCGTTGACGAAAGAAAGACTAACAAATAGTCGACCAAGCTGAACGTGGCGTTACAGGCTTTTTGCATCCATTTCAGTTTCGTTAATGCAATGGAAATTGACAACGGAGCATCATCGGCATGCTGCCGTTTCCGAATATTTTATTAGTCTTTTTATTATGGCTGCCAAATGCCCAAACGACCATTCGCTTATGACGGCACTCACGTGCATGACATGCCCCCCCCGCCCCCTTCCCTCTACGGTTTACTCTCTTTTCTCAGCTCATCTCCTTCATTTCCATTAATAACAAATTCGAATCTCAAAATGTCAAATGTTTTATGTACTTGCTGGTCCACCTCTTAATTATTAGATTCTAAATTGAAACCCCCAACTCAAATAATTGACTGATGTATAAAAAACAGAGAGTATTTGGTTCCAATTTAATCTTATTTTGTTTTGGGAGATAAAATGAGTCGCTAAAACTCAATTTTAAAATCGTTATCCTCATTATACATATTTTTATCACTTAAATTAAGCAAACGTTATTATTATCTATGTAAAAAAACAAAACTCAAAAAATTAAAAAAAAAAAAAGAGTTATCTATGAAACCTAGAAGGGAGAGAACATTATGATCCCTGACCGAGGGATATAACAATATGCGATAAGCACAAGCGAATAAAGAAACAAACTGGTAGATTTGGGATTAACCTAACAATTTAAGTATTTAGTTGCATGAGGATTATATCACAATTCTCAACTACTTGGAAGTTAGGTCAGAAGTTGATAAGGCATTTTCACTTCAGAAGGTTCTAAAACGATGAACTTTCATCAAATAGGCCGGCGATTATTTTGTCTTCAACACAAAGCAAAATTTCTACAATGCCAAAATTATGTCCTGCATATACCTTCAAGTTAAAACTTTGGTTTTTTTTTTTTTAATGATCTTGTAGAGTAGAAAGAAGAAATACACCCATAATTACTATTATATAAAAATTATAATTTATATAGAGTATGATTTATGAATGACTCTTATAAATGTAAAAAATATAATAAAAGAATTTTCTCATTACATTGATGTTGAAATTTTAAGATTTTAGTTGTTTTTGTAATGATTTAAGATAAAGCATCATTGATTGAATCATTTTTCAATCTACTATCAAAAGGTGAGTTCAAGTTACTAATAGTTACTGACTTAGGTTTTAATAATCGTATTTAAATTCGATATGAAATAAGAAATCATAATCTCACTTATTTAAATCTTTAATGTCTTCAACCATATGTTTCAATTACAATCAAGACTCACTCGACAAAATCAAAATCTTATTACACGATGTAAAAGTTTGCATCGAATTAACACATACACTTATCAATGCCACATATCTACGATCAAAATTCACTCCACAAAGTAAAGATCTCACCAGCATATTGTCAAAGCACATACCAAATTGACATATGTTTTGATATCAATTATAACAATTGAAATCTTAATAACTTTTCAAGTTTGCTTGTACCATGCAATTCTCAGTGATTGATTTAAATCATTATATAAATTTTAACAATTATATTTATATTTAATGTGAAATGAGATATTATAATTTTATTGTTTTGAAACTCAAAACTTAATTTAACTCAACTGGCTGTTTTCTAGTCAAATTTAATACTTAAAAGTAGTGAACTAAAAGTCCATTATATAACTTGTACTTTGTTATTCCTTGATTCTTCCCATGTATATCTCATTTAATGGCCACTTGCATATGCCCGTTGTGGTTGTTAATTAAAGTCAACAATTTTTAAATTTGATCCGGTTTGGTTGTTTACCTAATTTTTGGTCCACTCCTCTTACAAATTATTGTCATGTGATTTTGCAGTAAATAATTCCAAAACTAAACTCATTACTCACCTGACCATTTCAGCAAAGCGACTCCATTTAATTCTGCAAGAAAAGTCTCCCCTCCTCCACCAGTCTCTACTTCCATTAGTGAAAACATTATTCTAAACTGTGACTAATATCCCAACTGAATGGAATCTATCTTATGACCCTATATATTTCTCCATTACTTTAACTTTTAAAAGATTTTCTATCCCTTTTCTTTTTATCCTTTTGATAATAAATAAAGTAATTGACTGAAAAGGTAATAATTAATTAGATCTCGATCTCTTAATTTTCAATTTTGATATAAGTAAAACCCCGCTCGTATGTGTATATCTCAGTAGTAGTAAATTTGATGACTAGGGAGGTAAAACAGAGGTGTAAAATGTTGAAAAAAAAAAAGCTAAGTACTTTAAGCCTTTCCCTTCAAATTGACAGATGACAGCATCAGCTAATTTATCTAATGACTATGGACCCACGGTGCACAGTTTCACCTGTTTTGGGTGAAGTCCTTTTAAGTTCATCTTTATGAAAAGCTGGTTCCCATTTTTAATTTGGATGTCTACTTTATCATCACTACCGGACCACTACCTAGTTTTTGCACCATGTTAATGCATCATCAAAGAGAAAGCGTATTGCTCTCCCATAATCATTCGTCATCGAGCAGATGCAACCAACACGCTTGCTCAACGACCCACATCCACATATTCATAATGGACCCGTGTTCAAGCTTTTTCTTCTCGAAAGAAAGGGAAAAAAAAAAGGCCATTAACTTTGCTTTTGTGTGCATTGAATCAGATCAAGTACATTTTGAAGGATGACAGCAACCGGACAAGGAACAATTATTGATGCTATGAGTTCAAATTTATTCAGTGATACAAAACCTATAGCAGTCATGGTCATGTTTCAGTGTAGAAATAATCGTTAATGATAATTCGAACAGTCAGCGGAATCCTTACTACGTGAATACCATCTTCCCAGTACAGGTTTCCAAATGAGTATCTTCCTTGAACTTTCAGTTGCGAGCAGATGGTAACCTTAAACTTCAGCTTCTTTGTTGTGGAATTGAATGACAAAATCAATGGCTTGACGGTTACGTGAGCGCCAGCGGGAGCTTGAACACGAGCAAAGTAAACAGAATTTATTGGACCAACATTTGTAACTGTTCTAGAGACAGTCAACCGCTGCTTAAGCTCAGGTATAGTGATAGAAGGCAAATTTAGATTCAGGAGGAACTTGGCTGATTTGCGACATGGGGTGCGAACCCTAGTCATTAGGCTGATGGCAGTGCTGTTATAGCCCATTGCATAAAGGAAGCAGACATAATCAGAGATTTCCATGTCATATATGAGACCGGGAGATAGAGCTTTGTTTGGATCAACATGACCACCCCCATAGTCAAATGGGTCAGCCTGCTTGTGGGGTGCTCCCTCAGCTACAGTATTTTGGCCATATTCATCCGTCACAGAAGCTTCGCAAGCCAAATGAAAAGAGAAAAGTTGCATTAACAAGTTGCAAGAGCAAACTAAAATCCCATAAATTTTCTGTTTCTTACCTGTTGTTACTAGTGCAGACTTAATTGCTGCAGGGCTCCACGTAGGATGGATACCTTTGAGAAGAGCAACAATGCCAGATATATGGGGACAGGCCATGGAGGTTCCAGAATCGAGTTTAAAGTTAACTGGAGATTCTTTGTTTTGAGGTGAATCTAGTGGCTTGGAGGAAGAAGCAGGGGACCAGGAAGCCAATATATCAACTCCTGGAGCAGCAATGTCTGGCTGAAGAATGCACTGACATGTTAATAAAAAGGGCCTTGTAACTTCTCTTAAGAAAAAGAATGCCAATACCTTCAACACGGATGGTGAAAGGGAACTAGGTCCTCGTGATGAGAAATACGCTACTTCTGGGGCTAGCTGTTGCCCTGTAACCGTCTTTGAGAAGCTAAACTTGACTCCAGGATTTCTGTTTACACGAAAGAGTTCATTGCATAACAACATAATGGCCTTCCAACGGAATCTCAGGACTTAGGGTTCAAGTCTCATCTGGAAGACATGAAATTACCCCACAGCCTGGCTGCTGGTGCAGAAAGGTGCATAAATTTGAAATATTTCAACTGTTTGCAGTTGGAGACATAATCATATAAAGCTTATATGCCTACTGAATGAAACAACTAATAATGTGGATACTTTTTCTGGTCAAGTTTGCTCTCTATAAATGAGGAACTCCACCCCTCCCTCCCCCCAACCCCAGACAAAGAGACAGAGAATAAAAAGAAAAGAAAGTCCTCTAGTGTTAAAATGACCTGCTTGCCGCGATGTATGTCAGCAGAGATGTCCCAGCAGCAAAGTCCACTTGGATACAGGGAAAACTCCACGGACAAGAAACATCCTTAGTAGGAAACTGTGCAAAGATAACACCAGCACCCTTAACCTTGAGTACAGATCTTGAAGCAATGACAGCTGACCTCTGTGACCGAGATTGGAAACAAAGAACTATTTTTCCTCTTGCTAAAGTGGCATTCAGAGTTTCCAAATCACAACTTCTGCAAAAGTATAAATATCAGAATATTCATTCCTACGCGGTATTCCAGATTCCAATATTCATGTGAACTAGAACATACGAACGAGTCTTACCCAGCACTGTTTTCATCTACGTCAGTGGCTGCAATATCTGCTCCATACACGATAGGATGAAACTTGTTTACTTCCCTTCCTGTGTGAAAAGACTGACCCTGTATGAAAAAATAAAAAACATAGCTAAATAACAAAACCATAAATTTGTATTTATATTTATTATTACAAGGAATTAAAATTTACAAACTAAATATGATAGTTCAATAATAATCCAAACATGAATATCTCAAATGCATTGTTCTGCCGTGCCCGGGTCACATTTAAATGTTCTCACATGACATTAGAATCAACTTAATTTCTAAAAATTTCAACAGAAAAGCTCCTAGTTGATCAAATCACCTTCACTAAAAGATTATGCATATTTAAATCAACTGAAATCAGATTTTATTTTAATACCTTTCTCCTAACAAGAAGATGGACCAACAGACATCAGCAAGGGAAGTTGAACTAAAGTTTCATGCCCTCATGGCAATATTAGCAGGCAAGCAGAATTTGCAACAGGAGGCTGGTTTGTGAAAGCGGTAAACTGCTGTATCTCTATTGATGTTAAATTCATTTTACTTACATCATGAAGCCTAGAATATCCAAAACTACTATCAATCAATAAATTTATTATTTTTTACGCAAATTTTTTTGTGTCTCATTATTTAGAATTTCTTTTCCTGGTTAATTAACGTGTGATTGTCATATCAGTAAAACTTTGGACAAAATTTTCAATCATTGAGAAGGAAATTACACATTACCACAACAGTTTGGTTGTTCCCCATGGTGACCACAGCAGGGAAATCTCGATCAATGGTGCTTGCAGCGACAGTTATAACCCATGGAGCAGTATTAATGACAGTTTGAGGATAAGGACCAGAGTTGCCAGCAGAGCATACAACAGAGATTCCTCTTGCTACAGCGTGGAAGGAACCAATAGCCAATGCGTCATCAACATAGGTAGAAAGTGGAGGAGGTGAGCCCAAAGATACTGAAAGAACATTGACACCATCAAAGATTGCATCATCAAATGCTGCAAGAAGGTCAGCTGAGCTACAGCCACCAGTAGCCCAACAAACTTTGTAGATAGCTAGCCAAGATGAAGGAGCACCTCCTCTGGCTAATCCTTGGGCTAGTCCCCTAAAGTTTGCATTTTCTACTAGAGCACCACTTGCAGTAGATGAGGTGTGACAACCATGGCCCGAAGCATCTCGAGGAGACAAGAACTCAACCCCATCATTTGGATCAAGCTTTCCGAATTCAGCTTCATATCCTTTAAGATACCAACGAGCACCAATAATTTTCCTGCTTCAAACACGCCATAATTAGACACCTTATAATTTAGCCAACATCAACAGTCAACACTACATACAGTTCATATGAACTAGGATATATTAATCTATATTTAAGCATTTCCCTAGACATAACAGTGACAATGAACTTAGAAACATCAAAGATAATCCGGTCCTATTGTATAAGTTAAAAGAATTTGGCAACATATTCCAAGTCAACTGCAAAGTTACTGACAATGGAATAGCAATTGGAAGCAGACCGCTGTTTCAATAAACTTAAACCAAATATGGCATCAAACTGTAATTTTCTTGAAAAATCTGGTACTAAAACAAGTGTGAGTGAGAGGAGAGATTGTTTCATAAGAAAAAAGATTCTGGGATTCTTGGAAATTTTAACTTGCAATATTCTGTAAGAAGTAAATTCTCCTCTTTTGAGACAAATCAGACCAAAAGCACAGAAGTAAAAAATTCTCAAATCCAGGACAGAAAGATTCCAATGCTTTTATGCTTATTACAACTGATTTTAGTAGTGAAGTACGCAACTTTGTTAGCTAATGAGGATGCTTCAGGAAACAACTGCCAAAGGCAGCAGGATCCACCTAATTTTCTACAGTTCAAGCCAAGGTTTGAGAAATTAAATTGAGGTCTAGTGATACGATATTGGTTTGATCCACAAGGACAGAAAACATGGCTGATTAGGAAAAAGAAAGAATAGCATGAGCATTGGTCAAATTGTAAGAATACCTATTGCAGTGGGAGCGGTTAAATCCTTCTCCTTCCTGGCATATCCCTTTCCATCGAGATGGAACCTTTCCCATGCCCTTATCTTTGAAGCTTTCAGACTCTGGCCAAATACCTTCTCACCAAAATTTATGAAAAAAAACAATTGTCAACCACTACTATAGATAGCTTGGTTTTTTATTTTTTCGTTTCATAAAGAAATGAGAAAAGTAAAAAAATACACAAAGCGTTTCGAGACTGACCAGTATCCATGACACCAATGATAGTCCCAATGCCTGAATGGCTCTTTGAAAGAATCCCATCCACAATTTGAGGCTCTACATGCAGGAAATCCCAGCTTCTAGTGGTATGCAGACTTAGAATTCTATTTGGAACTACACGAACAACTCCAGGGACATCTGCATCGATATGTTATGAGATAGAAAATCAACTAAAAGACCCATTTGAGATAGAATACTAAAGGAGAAAAACAAGAGTTTACAGTTCACCAACATTGTTACACCTGCAATAAGCTTGGCTTGAGACTGACTGAGGACTGCAGCAAATCCTGAAAGCCCATGTTTGTAGCTGTATAAAATGGATTCCTTGGCAGATTCTTTGCTGTTCAATTGAGATCATAACATGTTATTTTCTATTTTCAAATAAACAGGTCTCTTGTAGTCTTCTTAACAGATGAACTTGTCAAAAAGAAATTTTGTTCATTCATGTAAGCAAAAGTTCAATTAAGATGCATATGAATAAAGGGTGCAAATAAAATCAGAGAGTAAGAAACATTGAAGTGCAACTTATGAAGGAAAAGCTTTTAAGTGTATGTATATTGATATCAAACAAATTAATTATGTATCAGTAATGAACTTATAGCTACTAGTTCCCTTCAAATGACCAACTTTTATTTTTTTTTTTCATTTGAATGAAGATACTGAAAAGAAAAGCCACTGAACAACTTCTGCTAAAGAGAGTTGAAATTAAAACCTTCCAAGAATGTCTGAAAGAATTTGATGATGAGAATCCTCCAGTAGATTTGGCTGATCAGTATGTCTCTCTCCCATATATATAATATAAACCTGTCAAAGAAACAACGAACCCATTAAAAAAAATGCAAACCAAAGATGATCATAAGCTGAAGCAAAAAATTGGAATAAAAGTTAAAGAAAGAAAACCTACATTGCTTGCAGCAAGCGCAAGAAAAAAGAAAGAAGGCAACAAAGCAAGAACAACACCGCATGCCCATGAAGAAGAAAAGGAAGCCATGAGAGATTGAGAAACGTGGAAACAAAAAAATACATATATCGAAGACACAGGCTATCAAAGAAGAGTAGCTACTTGCTTAAATTGGTGAGGGGAAGAGTCGGGAGACGTGCGGGGACCGCAGTGGATACCTGCTCCACTGCTACTGTCATTTACGCTTAAAGGTTCACTGGGTGCACGATAGACATGTCTTTTTGTCAGAGTCATTTAAGGCCCTGTTTGTTTTGTTTGCAATCTTCACAGCCATCATGATTTTGAAGATGGAAGCTTTCGTTTGTCTGTTTGTTCTTATTGGTCTTCTTTTACTTTGTGGGAAAATGCCTAAGTGGAAGAACAACCGTTGACTCGAACTTGGGTTGACTGAATTTTCTCCATGAACGAAACAATGGGTTGGTGAAGTGGCTTCTGTTTGAACTTCTTCTGCTCTTCGCACTTTGTCTAAGGTAACGTTGATACATTATAATGTAACGTGATTATAGTTAATGTGATTGCAAATAATGTGATTAAAAATAAAATAATAGTGTTTGGTTTACAAGTACTTTAGTGGGAATGTAATGTTAATTGTCAAAATTACCCCTAATTATTAAAATATAAGTTTAATATATTTATATTTTTATTATTAATTTTTATATAATATCATTTTCTAAATATATTTTTAATATCATGTATTTTATTTTTATTTATTTTTATAATATTTTATATTTTATTTTTAATATATTTATATTTTTATTATTAATTTTTATATAATATCATATTTTAAATATATTTTTAATGTCATATATTTTATTTTTATTATTATTATAATTTTATATATTTTATTTTTATTTCTTTAATATATTTTATATTATATATTTTATTTTAATTTGTTTATCTATATTATATAAATATTAATTTTTATATTTTATTTTTTATTTTAATTTTATTCTTATATTATATATTATTTTAATTATAATATTATAAAATATTTTAATAGGAATAATAAAGTTTGAAGGGTAAAATTATTTTAAGAACATTACAAAGTGCAATGTAATGTGATTGCATTGGTTTTGGACTGCAATCACATTACATCCATTGGCTGCAATGTGATTACATTGTAATTTTATATCGTAGTAATCTGTTACAAAACAAACACTGTAATATAATTTAATAAACTACATTACAAAAAATGTGACTTACATCCACCTAAAAGTTGCGAAAAGAATTCAAACGTTTTTCTTTTATCTGAGTTCCTCTGGAAGCCCCCAAGGACGCATGCACTTGCCCGCAAAATGACACAAGTAGTTCTTTTTCCCAGATGATATGTTCATATTTTGATCATATTCAAAAGGAAAATTATTTGTTTTAACTTTTTCCCTGAAGACTGAAAGGTGTCGCAACTCTACTGGCTGTAACCTGCTAACACCTATGATTTTGCTCAAAACTGTAACGTTCCACTGAATAGTTTTCTTATTGTCAATTATTATAAGCTTGCCGCTCAGAAGACGAAATGCGTTTTGACTATTACGGTTTTAAAAAATGTAAACAGCTCAACTGTAATACTACTACAGTTTCGGTATGGTAAACTAGTCGTTGGTTCAATTGATGAAGTGATTGTACGATATGCTGTATTAAAGATTTTAAATTATAATACTTCATAAAATTAAAAAAAAAAAAACAGAAGAAGGTTTATACAAATGAGAAGCGTCACTAATATACTTTAAAAGCGCACTAACTATTTAAAAATATTAAAATTTTATTATTATTTTTTTATTTTAAATTAAATTTATATATTTTTATTTTAAATTAAATAATTTTTTATAATTAATATTTGATTAATTGATATAAATTATAATATCTTTTATTATTTTAAGTTACTGAAAGCTAAAAAATATCACATAATTATATCATAAAGTCACATTAATATATCATGTCATTGTCTATAATGACATATTAATATGTAATTTTAACATCAAGTGATATAAAATATGATAGGTAAGTTTTAACTAATTAGAATTATTTTACTATTAATTATAAAAATATATTTAACTTAAAATAAAAATATTAATTTTTTTATTAAATGCAATAAGAGAATAAATATTTATTTGAATTTTTTAAAATAATTTTAGAATTTTTTTTAGATATTATGTAAAAAATAATTATATTTCATTTTCATAACAAAAAGAAGAAGAAGATTTATCCAAATGAAAAGTATAATCTACTCCATAATCTAATGATTTAGAATATAATTCAATTTCAGAATGATATTTTAACTAAACTAAATTAGTCTTATATTCTACAAAAATAGTTTTTTATTTTGAATTACAATTTTTTTGAAAGGGATAAGAAATTTTTTATCCAAATGCATGGATCACACAAGTGTCTAGTACTTTTTATCCTAATAAATTGTTATAAAAAAATTTAATTTCAGCAAGGGAACATTAATTTCAATGATTAATGCACAATCCCTTATTAAAAGAACAAAATTCGAAATCTTTTTTTTAAATAAAAAAATAATTCTATAATGATAAACGAGGCAATTAAATTGACATGCAAAAAAGTAATGCTTTTAAATTAATTAGGTAAAGGAATCATGTTAACATTGCAAAGTTAATGTCACCAGTGCACCACGAGCATGTGGCCATCTCTATCAAAAAAAGAGATAATATTCATAATGATTCATCAAATTAATTAATTTCGTGACTATAATTACGTATTTACATTGAATATAAATTAGTAAGTTTTATGTTTATGGATCTATATTTATCTCTTGTACCATAGGCCAATTGATGAATTTGTTTATTGGTATTGATTTTTTTTTTCTTTTTGATGAAAAAAAGAAGGGAGACACCAATAATTTGGTGCATTTATGTTAACAAGCTTCCATCATTCCATTTTCATGAGAGAGTTTAAAGAAAGAAGACTTAATATCCAAGCCAAATTGAACCTCGACATATAGTTGACCTTGGATAGCACTCGATTTTGCTTTACACGTAAGTAATTGAAACCCACAAAAGTGATTTTGGTCCTTGTCTATTTCTCTGGCTTAGCTTGTTCAAGGTTGTCTTGTACTGTATCAATAATTCGAAACGTTAACCCTTATTTCTTCCCAATTGTCAGAATTTCATAATCTTTTTTTATAATTGAAGAACGAGAGATTTGTACTCATTTTTTAAGCAAAGTATTATATATTAATTAATTAATCAAATACTTGAGTACAGTCAATAATTTACAATTAAAATTCATATTCTTATTGGATTGCCTAAACTCTATAAACAAAATAAAACCTAAATTTAAAACTTAGAACTTCATTTTTAAAAAATTGTTAGAAAATAAGTAGTTATATTTGGATAAAAGATTTTAATTTGATATATTATCAGTATATGGATTTTATACATTATCAATAAGTCAAATGTTGTTATATTGCTAATAAATAAATTTAAAATTTAGAAATTATTAAAACTAATATTCATAATTTTAAAATATTTCCTTTGAAGATCTTTTAAATTTTTATGTTTGTTTATTTATGAAATAGTAATGTGGAATTAAATGATAGCATGTAAATATTATACATTGACAATAAATCAAATATAAATTTTATTTCAAAATGATATTTGATTTTTTTATAAATAAATTAACATGCAGGTAACATTTGCATGTCCTTTCCAGTCCATGACAATTCATAAGTATTTTTTATGTTTTTTTAAATGTAAAATAAATGCATAAACTAAACATTGGAATAATATCACAATGGTAATTCAAATTCATAAACCAAACTATAAATAGTTATTCCTATCATATTATATTTTCACATAATAGTTATTTTATTTCCCTCCGCTTTATGTGTCTTCTACCATTATGCAATGGTGTAGAAAATTTTAAAAGGAAGAAAAAAAAAGAAAAATGATGATAAATTTGTCTTATATATGTTTGTTAAAATTGGTTAAAGATTTTTAGTTAAATATCCAAATAAGTCCATGAATTATGTCAAAAGAATCACTTCAACCCCTATCTTTCTATTATATTCAGATAAATCTCTGAATTTCTATTTCGGATCAAATAAATTCTTCTTCTTAATTAAAAATTAACTTTTATTAATTAATGATACATATGATACTTTCATACCATATCATCTACCACATGATAGATGATGTATCATTAAATATTGTTAATTAGGATTTGTTCGCTTATATTTTTACCCATTTACTCAATTCTAATCAATAATATTTAATGACATATCATCTATCACGTTACAGATGACATGGTATAAAAGTACCATATGTATCATTGATTAATTCAATAATTAACGAGAATAACTTTTTTGATTTGAAATAAAAATTTAGAGACTTATTTAAATGTAATAAAAAAAATAATAATTGAATGAATTTTTCTTACATAATTCAGAGATTTATTTGAGTTTTTAATCAAGATATTTTTATCCAATTACTTTTTTATGCTATTTCAATCTAGGTTGAAAGTCATTACGGGGGAGAGTTTAATGATAACTATTTTAATCTCAAAATGATCATTTTGTGAAATAAATGATATCATAAAAAAGAATAAGGATTCCCTTAATTAAACATGTTATTTAAATTTTCAAATTAAGATTTAAAAGCAATTATTAAAACTCCAAAATGGAAGGGGATTATTAAATCAATTGCATTCCATTTAAAAAATCAATTAATGGATTAAGAAGAAGAGAAATAAAAGTTTATGGAAAACTAAATTGCGAGGTGGGGTTGGTTTGATATTTGAAAATTCAAAACAATAAGAACGAGCTCAGGAAGAGTAAAATGAGAACGTGTTCACCATAACAATCTACTTCTCGTCATTAAATATTTTTCAAAATCAAAGCAATGCAAAATTTTGCCCACGGCGATACACCAAAAAAGGCTCATTGAACCACCACCCTCCCAAAAGCTAAAAAGAAGTACCCAAAGCACATCCATTCGACGATTTCAGTTCTCTCTCTATCGCTTTCTCGGTTTCCTGCTCTGCAAATCCATCTAAAAGCGCCAATTTGTCCGGTGAATGGAGGCAATCAGAAAACAAGCCACGCGGTTGAGGGAACAAGTCGCCCGCCAACAACAGGTCTCTCTCTCTTTATCAGCCTATTCAAACCCTAATTTCTTTTTTCTTAATTTGCTTTAGATCCAAGTCAACGTCCATTTCTCAACTTCATCCATGATCTGTCTCTAAAGTTCAAAGTTTCGCAAATATTGTTTCGCGTTTTGTCTTCGATTTGGTTTTCTTGTTATTAAGATTGATTTGTTTTTCGCATCTCGTTCGGTTATTAATTAAATGCTGGATCTATTACATGGAAATTACAGCGCTTGTGATTCGTGAGTCGAATCAACAGAATGTGGAAATAATTAAATATTGTGCGAATATTATACGGAACATGATGAACTGATGGAAGTGATTTTATCAGCTAAATTGAAATTTGAAAGTTATCGGGTATTTTTTTAAAATAGGATTATATTTCAATTGAATGATCAAAAAGAAAATGGATGTAAAGTATTGGAAATTTCTTGTATGTTGAAATCATTGAGACCTCAGTATGTTTTATCAGTTCTGGATTTGCTATTTACCAGCAGCTTAACGTGTTGTGTTCAAATGCTTGATATACACTTGGTCTCGTGAACTTCTCTGCTAATTTGCTAACAAGGATGATATTTTGCTGAATGTTACTTCAGGCTGTCCTCAAACAGTTTGGTGCTGGGGGATATGGAGGGTCAGACAATTTAGTTACTGATGAAGCAGAACTCCAGCAACATCAGAAACTTGAGAAGCTTTATATCTCAACGCGTGCTGGCAAGGTCACTAATTTGTTCTGTTACATCAACTCTTGTCTCTCATGTTCTCTTCATTTAACTTGGTCAATTTTGTTTTTCAGCATTTTCAAAGGGATATTGTTCGTGGTGTAGAAGGATATATTGTGACTGGGTCCAAACAAGTTGAAATAGGTGAGTTGGTGAAGCATTTTTGTATTTTTAAAATTCCACTTTGAATTCAACGAACTTGACATTGTTGTTCTGTTATGTAATTATTTTTTCCACAGGAACAAAGTTATCTGAGGATAGCAGGAAATATGGGGCTGAAAATACTTGCACCAGCGGCAATACATTATCAAAAGCTGCATTGGGTTATGGACGTGCTCTTGCTCAAATGGAGAAGGAACGTGGGAATCTGTTGAAGGCTCTTGGCACACAGGTTTGTTTAGAATTGTTATTACCAGAACATAAAATCCTAAAAAGTTTGGTCGCTAAGTTCATAAATCCATGGAAGAAGACTCCTACATAATTTGGCTGTTTGATTGACCTGTACATGGATTCTTCATTTTTGGCCTTTTCTGGATATTCTTAACCTTTTCCCTAATTATAATAGGCCATACAATCATATCGGTAAATGTATTGGATTTTCTGATTGTTAGGTAGCTGAGCCATTAAGAGCAATGGTAATGGGAGCTCCATTGGAGGATGCACGACATCTTGCTCAGCGTTATGACAGAATGCGACAGGAAGCTGAAGCACAGGTTTTATATGCCACTGTTATCTTACTGATTTATTGGATATCCGCTTGTTTTTATTTCAGAGGAATATATATATATATTAGTTCACAAATATATAGTTCTAAACAGATAGGTCCATGATGTGAAGTGCTTGAAGCCCTCTAATCTGTCATGAAGATGGGGCTTCATTGCAGGTCTATACATGCTAGTTGTTCTCTAGAGAGTTGTTGAGAGGATATTCCCTTTTTATCTATAATCACAATGGAGTATGGGGTAATACTTGCCCTCTGGGGCTAGATGATTATGATAGCTTAAATTTGAAAGGTTGATTGTGCTACAAGTGTGTATTTACACCGTCTTTTTGACCTAGACAGGCGATTGAAGTTTCCAAACGTCAAGCAAAAGTGAGGGAAACACCAGGAAATCCTGAGAGTGTCATGAAATTGGAATCTGCAGAGACAAAACTGCAAGATCTAAAGTCAAACATGGCAATATTGGGAAAAGAAGCTGCTGCAGCCATGGCCGCTGTTGAAGCTCAACAACAGAGGTTGACACTTCAGAGACTTATTGCTATGGTAATGCAAATCTCCTTCTATGTAAATTTTAAATTGGATCACATGCTATACAGGATCGATTCTGAAATTTTATGCTTCTGTCATTTTATTTGGGACTGAAGGTTGAAGCTGAACGTACATATCATCAACGAGTGCTTCAGATACTTGATCAGCTTGAAGGCGAGGTATGCAGTTGTGCTCTGAATCCTTTTTGTCAATATTCTTTTGCTGCAGATGAACTAATAATATCATGACTACATGATTTCCTCCATGTTCTCGACAGATGATATCAGAGCGGCAACGAATTGAAGCACCTCCTCCCCCAAGTGTGGACAGCATGCCTCCGCCGCCATCATATGAGGAAGCTAATGGAGTTTATGCTTCTCAAATGCATAATGGCTCAACAGACTGCATGGGATACTTTTTAGGCGAGGTTTGTAACTTGGACACATATACCATTGGACATGTGGGCTACCAAGTTGCTGTATTCTGTATGATGGCTGACTAATTGCTGTATTATTGCAGGTTATGCATCCATATAATGGTGACTCTGATGTGGAGCTGAGTTTGTCGGTTGGTGACTATGTAGTTGTGCGAAAGGTTTAACACTTGAGCTTAACAGCTTTATCTTCAGATATGATTTCACAGTGTCTAGTTTTGTTTCCTTCCGAACTTTATGCAATAAGGATTCACGATCTAATCTATACTCTTGGCAGGTGACAAACAATGGCTGGGCTGAAGGAGAATGCAAGGGGAAAGCAGGTTGGTTTCCGTTTGGATACATTGAAAGAAGGGAGCGTGTTCTTGCAAGCAAAGTAGCAGAAGTTTTCTAGAGTTCTGTGCTTGTTGGCGTCTGCAGAGAGGATTTTGTATGTGTGTATCCTTTTTTGTGCTATATGAATTCAAAGGTTGGGAGTGTTATCGCAAATAGAAGAATTCCTGTCTGGTCTAGTTTTGATATGTAATATACATACCAAACTCTTTTCTTTTTCCCATCAATATGTGAATACATTTTTATATTTCTATTTATTTAATTTTTTTAGGTGACATGAGTTTTGTCCCTAATTTGTTGCTATTCGCTGATTGATGAGTGAAAAGCTGTCCTTTCGTATTTATGTTGATTTGTCTATGTTCAACTTAATCAAGCTGTGGACCGTTGGAGCTTCCTCCACCATAGATTTAGGTTCTGGTCCCAACTCTCGCAGATGACGAGTGAAATTATAGGGCCTTCGCCTCAATCAGCTAAACCGGTCACGTACTCTGTTCCCTCGTCGCATTTTGTCTGTTCCCTTCGACTTTCATGAGATTTAATATTAGAACGTTAGTTTTGTTTTTATAAATTTGTTATACCGTAATATTTAATATCAAAAAGTAAAATATATATATATATTCGATATTTATTGTGTTGTATTTCGAAATGTGATGGCGACTTTTTATATATAGGTAAAAATTTTTGATCTTCCAAATTTTATCAATGGATATAAATGTGTCAATAAATATTAATAAAAAAAGAAAAAAAATGAAAATTTATAATGAATGTTGAAAGTTTGAAATGAAATTTCAGTATATATTTATACAAATTTGAATGTTATAATATAAAAATTACAGCAGAGTAAAATGCTACACAGTGTGTTAGTGAATTTATGTCGTGTAGAAAATATAAATAATGAAAAATTGATATATTGTATTATACATAAATGAAAATTGGAGAAATATGTAAGTTATCGATACTAACAAATAACTACAATTGATGTGATTAATAACAAAAATGTTACACCGACTATTTGAAAGTTTAAAATGAAAGTTTAAAAACTTAATCAAATATAATAAAAAAATAATTTTTTTTAAATAATTTAAGATTATGTCGATTAAAAGTTTTATATCCTCATCACTAGAAAAAGCTACAAATAATAAAGATAGTTTCAAGCATTTTAATTTTTAAAAATTTTCCTGGATATTTATTAAAATATCAATAATATTTTTGTATATGTCTTCTATGTATTTCAAAATCTATCATTTTTAACAGATTTTCACTGATATTTTAAAATATTTTTAAAATTTCAAGAAAACACAAAGTTAAATATTTATGAATAATTTATCAAACAAATAAAAAAATTAGATATTAATATACCTAACATAATGATGGATATTTAATTTTTTGAGTTGATTCGATTCCTCTTAAATCCTTCACGTGAATTAAAGAAGCTCGTTCATGATTTAACGTGTCAAGGCACAAATAGTAAAGAAAGTACTTACGTCACTAAAGAATGGTATTTTGAAATTAAAGCATCGCGTTTTAATTGGGTGTGGTCAGCATGGTATGAGTGGGCGATATTCAAGTGGGGATCACGGACCCACTCATAGATGGTTGATTTTAAAAATTAAGATTGTGGATCAATTTATGCTTTCATAGAATTTGTATTAGGATCAACGTAACAGTTTGATGCGGTTTTAAAGTCAACTATAAATTTTAAATTTTCTAAAAAGTAATAATTAAAACAATACTATTAATTATCATAAATGTAAATTTAATCAAGTAGGGTGCTAAGTTCATAAATATTATTAGAAAATTCATACATCCATGTTACAATTTATATTATAATTCATTGTTAAATTTTATCACTTTTAAAGTCTTAATAATATTATTAGTACTCCTTTTAATTATTCATTAATTATTTGTATTGAATATAAATGTTCTTAAGTAAATATCACTCTAATTTAACAGTTAATATCTTTAAGTCCGAATCTTAAATATATTTTATATAGTTTTCAGATAATCATTAGTTTAAAGTCAAATTCAAACTTGATTTTGCAATCCAATCTTGCAATTCAAGGCGAATAGATAAACGTATGGGCTCGTGAACCTATTGATCCTAAAAATTTTGATTAATAAATCCACCATCAAGTCAAAAAATTACTTAAAATCAATCTAAACCTGTCATGTTTTAAAATTTTTGAATAATAAATTATTCGTAGAGTCTCCATGTTCAAATCACCCATCAAATCACAAAATCACTTAAAATCGACCCAAATCTATCCATTGATGACCATGGATCATTAATCACCCTTAGTTTGGATGGAATGGAATGGACATGTCTTATAATGAAGCCATAGCAGATTATTTTGCTTTTTCTTTCACAAATTACAGAAGGAAAATTGAGAAAATGGATTTACTAATCTCATCTTCCACTTTTTTTTTTTTATTCTTTTTATGGGTACACTATATCCCCTCCTCTATGGTTGAAAACTAGCTCGAGCTCCTTTCCAAGGATAAAGAAAAAGATCCAACAGCGTCATAGCTTATGCTATTGTGTGCTTGGACAGTAGGAACAACATCAAATGTACAGTAAACTGTAACTTCTTAACATTGTATACAAACATAGGAAAACAACTTCAGGAGACGAATCATGTATAAGGGTCGAGCACGAGTCCTGCGCAAAGAAAAACAAGGAGAACAAAGGGGAGGGGGGAGTTAGTGAAGGGTAATATTTACTAGACCTATCATTTCATTATTCACTAATTTAACTTACTAGTTATTCGGCCAGTTGGGACTAAGATTAGCCATAACGATGGCCAATATAATGAAAAGCATGACAGCCTGCATTTGGTTAAATAGAATAATCAGTAAATATTCTTGGAATATAACTAAAGGATGCAATGAGTCACAGCAACTCACCAGAAGAGGAGTATAATTGGACTGATTCCGAATTATGTAAGATTTCCTGGTCAAACCCATATAAAAATTGTCAAGTGCGAAAAATGAGAAAAAAAAAAAAGAAAAAAAATCACATAGTAATTAAAACTTTGACAAACCTTTTGTTCAGGACCCCTGAGTCCCTGCAAGTTTTCAGGATTAAATCAAGTCTGCTCAATGTTTTTTGTGCATTAGGATCATTGATGTCAACCTACAATTGCCAAAGAAGCACCTTTGATGTTAAAAAAAAAAAAAGACTAGAGGAAATTTGAGAAACATATACATGCTTGAGAAAAAATTGAAGCAGGATTGGATATGATGCATCCAATGACTTTCTCATAGTTGGTGTGTAAGTTGGTATGTCTTATCTAATATTAAGAAGAACCACATACCTTGGCTTTCAACATACAAGAAAAATCATAGAAAGCACCATAGACATCAGCCATTGTGTTTGTTCGGTCAATGACTTTCGCAGTGAGACCTGAAAACATAACCAAGATAAACTGAACATCAACCTAACCTAACCTAACATACTGGGTTACTATACATTCCCAGGACCAAAATTTAAGATGTAAAAGGGAATAATGATCACAGGTCATTCCATCACAGGTTGACATAAAATGAGCAAAGCACCAAGATCAGGTTTATTATGATTCTATTTATGTAAAAAAATTTAAATAAATCTTTCAAAATAAAATGAAGCAAAGAATTCCCACTTCACCACTTTCTCCCCTTCAACATAAATGTCCGTGCCTCAAGTTTAATCTCCAAAGAAAACAATTCCAAAGACTAATATCTTACCACGTCTCATTTTCACAACACCTCTGAAGACTTCAACGTTGTTGTAGCACAAGGCTAGTGTTCCAATAGCCATGATCTAGTAAAAGCAAGATCCAAGAAATTAGAGACAAACTTGAACAGGGCATGAACATTAGAAATCAGGAGATTATTTAATGCACTTCAAGCAAATGTTAGAAACGACATGCAACTCAAATAATATACAAGACTGAAGACAACTGAAGAAATAGTATCTCCAACCTGAGGGATAGCACAAAATCGAAATATTGCAGGATCACGTAAAGCAGACATGTACTTCAGGCAATCATCCATATGTATTAAAGCATTAGTGACCATGTCATTCAAGCACTGCACTGCCTTGACGGAGTTTTCCTCATCTTTCAAATCCTACAGGAGAAAATATTATTTTAAGAACCACAAATTTGAAAAGATTTTCCGAAAACTAAATTCGTATACACCAATATTCACCAGTTGGAAAGTTACTCAAACTTGAATGAAATTTGATTGTAACTTTAAACTGAAAAGATTTGAGATTCCAAATGGAAGTTAGGACAGAAATTGAGATAGAATATGGACGGAGGCATACCTCAAGTTTGCTGACATATTTACTCCAAATCTGGCGAGGCCAAAACATGCGTGACTTTGGTATCTCATTAATATCTTCTAGATAATCCCGGATAATATTTGTTTTCTGTCATTTTGTTAGATCCAAAAGGCATGGTTTTAGAATCAAATTTTAAACAAGCATTGACCAGGCATGAAACATGTTGATTCATTTATATATCAGAGCAATACCTGAAGAAATAAACCCATTGAATTGGAGAGTGAATCTGGAACCAAATCTTCTGACCCGGAGGCATGGAAAAGTTTGGACAGACCTAATCCAACAAGTCCTGCTACATAGTGACAATATTCATCATAATCATCAACTGTTTCTACCTGCAATAAAAACCCAAGTTCCTGGCGTCACATACAAGATAATATGAATACATTTAAAAGTTGAGTTCACGCAAAATATATTGTGTAAATTTAGTGGCTGAGCGTAAGGGATCAAGTTCTCGTATATGGTAGGAGACAGTTTAGAAGAGATCAGCCAGTGTTCAGTATTTCATAACTGAACATTGGTTTATGAATATTCAAATAGCTTAAGCTCAAAAAGTTTCCCACATTTATACATCCAGGTAATAGGTCAATGCCCTATAACTCATGACAAATTTCTCATGGAACATGAAAATCCACGGGATAAAGCCTTCTGTGAAATCTATTTGTTGACTAAAATAGAGCCCTGTTTCTTCCCACCCCCAACAGAAAATCAGTGTTCATCAGAAACAAGGCTGGTAAAAATATAAATAATACATGCATGAACAAACCTCCTTGCAAATAAATTTTGCCATCCCTGCACCCATTCTTTTTGTAATGTCCTCAATTGCCTCCTGATAACTGCAGAATCAATTGAGAACTATTGATTATTTGTCAAAAATCCATAAGCAAAAACAACTTGAACCACGTCTTCAACACAAAGATATCAATATCACCTTAAATTGTTGGTAAACAACTAAGATCAAGAAAAACTTAATAACTGACCCTTTTTCAAGTTCCAGAAAGGCAGTAGATACATGATGAAACTGGTCCATAAGAACTTTGTAGTTCTTTGTACCACCTGAAAAGAGAGAGAAAGCTATATAAGCAAGTGAACAAAGATTCCATTCGACAGGTAAATTTCCAACAATAAAATAAGCCACAGACTCCGATGATATGTTGTTATCCCAGAAAAATTACAGACAAGAACCCCCTCATCGAAGGAGGCAAAATTTCAAAATGCTCACATGAAAAGTGCCAGTCACGATTATATACGTGACGATGAAAATCTATCAGTATCGGAACTTTGACATCTGTTGCTATGCTAGTGTCATCCTCTGCAGGAAAAACCATCAGAAAAGGTCAAACCCATCAACATGTTAAACTGAATAAAAGAGAAAAACTTGTTTGTTTATTTGACGACATGAAAATAAAATAAACTGGTTCAAGATTTACATCATTTAGACACAAACTAGCATGTGATGGAGCCATTCTGTAGAAATGGTTTCCTAATGCTTTAGAATCAGTGTAAAAACATATATGATGGGGAAATGACATTCAAGGAGAAAAAAAGAAAAAGGGAAAGGGTTAAAGATTTCAAGAACAAACCAACGGTATCAAGGGCTCGAAGAACCAAATAAAATATGCACACCTGCAAAACCACAAAATGGTATACTTAAGATTAGAAAATCAGAACATTGTGAAAAGAAAATTGACAGGTAAAAATCAAAGCAACAGGATTGAAGAATTATTACCCTAACCTGAGGAATTAATACCCATATAAATGTCAATAAACAAAATCATTAACAAGGAAATTACAATCAGATAAAAAGGCATGCAAAATTCAAAGAGAATTAAACAGCCAAAACAGAAGTCGATGCTTACGGCGTTTCTAAGCTTGGTGTCAAGCTGTTGAATAACGAGAGCGAAACTACGAGAAACTTTGTGAAGCATAGAGAAACAGAAAGCCCAGTGAGGCTCCGATGGGATCTGTTTCTCCGCATGCCTCGCGGCCAATTTCAGCTTGAACAATGGATAAAAATCATCTGGGTTTTTCACAAGCGCTCCCAAACTCCCCATTCTTTTGAAAAAAAAATTCTTCGAAATCAGATCCAAAACAACAAAACGAATTCTGGGTACGGAAAACCAGGCACGTTTAAAGAGTGAAGAGAGGTTGTGGGATTTTCCAGGGGATATCGATTGGGTTTTTGTACTAGATGTAAATTGATGCCAGGAGTTGGTCTTTTCTGGCGTCCGTGAACTGGATAGACAATGGTGGGAATTAATGTTGTTGCCAAACTTTATTGATTTTTATGGTAATTTTCCTTTGGTGGGGCTCTAATCGCTTGGGATTGCAAGCTGAGTTTGTGAAAATGACCTGTGAATTTCGGTTATATATTCAATTTTTGGGATGTCGACTTTCGATTTCTTCGTGTTTTTTTTTTTTTTTAATTTTGAATGGCCTGATTCCTTCGACGAAACGTGGGCTCCGAACTAAGCTAGGCAGTGTTGAATATCCAACCATTTAGACTTTCAGTCATTCAATTTGTTGGAAATTTTCTAGTCAACTTTTTTTTTTTTGCTTCTTTTCAGCAATTTAGTCAGACATTGAGCCGTGTTTGCATGTCCATTTTTTTAAAGAATCATAATACTTAAAAAAATAAAAAAAATTTTAAACTATTTATAAAAATTAAAATAATTTTTTATTTTATTTAACTAAATTTTTATATTTTTTAAATAAATAAATTTTTATGATTAAAGATTTTTTAAGAAGTCAAATCTTTATTTATCATTTTTATATTATATAATAATAATATAATATATTAAAATATAATAATAATAATAATAATAATATAATTATCATGACAATATGATAACTTGATATTTTTACTTTTATATCAATATAATCTTGAAAAGTATTATTTTGATTAATAGTAATTAATTTATTTAATTAAAAATAAAAATATAAAATTTAATTAATTTAATAAAATAATAATAATTTATATAAAAATTTTAAAATATTATGATAATAAAATATAAGTTTACTTGTACTATACACTAGACTATGGCCATGCGTTGCACACGGCCTCTTTCTACCTGTTTTTTTCCTTTCTCTTTTTACTTCTCTTTTTCTTTCTTTTTTCTCTTTTTTCCTACGCCCTTCAAGTGGTTAAAAGGGTTCCTCTTGTGTATGCTAAAGATAAGAAACAAAAGGAGAAAGAGAGGGGAGAAAATGATTATTTCTTTAACTTTTTCCATTTTGATGAACTATTACTCAGTTACTCTAATCCCAGTGTACTTTAAACATTCAACCCTTCAAATTAGAAATTCAAACCATGGGTTTTCATCCAATAATTTTATAAGTTGCTTATCTCTTTCTAACCTTCTAAATATTTTATGTATGATCTTTCAAAGATGAATGAACTTAATTTTCATAAGTTCAATATAATTAAGAAATAATAATAAAGTTTATCAACTAAATTAATTGACACGTTAATTAAGTTCCTTCTACTAAGGAGGGGAGGCTAATCTCAAGTGGCAACTGGCAAGAGCTGGCCTTGGTTGTCAAAAGCTATTTCTTTCTTCTCCTTTTGTTTTTTTAAATTACTTTGAATTAATGTTTTCATTTTCCAAGTAGAAAGAATAAAATAAAACCCATCACCATCGACTTTGAATTAAATAATCACTTTTTATCTTTGATTGTTTCAAAATGGTGACTTATTCAATTTCTTGAACACTTAAAAAATTATAATTTTTAGTATCATAACCAAGTAAAAGTTTCATTTATAATACCTTAAAATCAATTGCTTAAAGAAAAAGCTACATGCAAAAATCAATGTGAGAGATTTAATTAATACAAGTAACAGAGATAGATAAATGTGTAATTTCGTGTAAACAAAGATTTGGACTAAACTGAAAATTCTTTAATTTTTTAGTAATTGAAATCAAAACCCCATTAAAAGTTCAAACGTTTCTTTGTCTTTTTTTTTTTTTTCTCTATTTTTTGTTGAAAAGATACTTACAAATTTCTAAGCTCATAGTCAAGCAGTGGAGTAAGGGGTAGCAAAACTAGAGATGTTGAAAAGAATGGAGAAGCAGAAAACCCAGTTATGCTCAGCTGATTGGACATACTTTCCTGCATGCCTCGCAGCCATTTTGAGCTTCAACAATGGATAAACCTCATTTGGGTGTTCCACGAGCTCTGAAGCAAGGATAGCACAAAGAGAAAACTTGTGAATCATGGAGGAGCTGAAGCAGAAACCCCGCCGAGGCTCTAATATTAGGATATGCTTCTCTGCATTCCTTGCAGCCGTATTCTTGAGCTTCAACGATGGATATAAATCTTTGGGGAGTTTCAGAACTGCCCCCAAACTTCCCTTTTTTAGTTTTAAAAACTGAGAATTTGGGTATATGAAAGCTAGCATGGATTGAAAAGTGAAAAGTGTGATCCAATTTTGTGTGTGTTTTTTTTTTGGCAGTAGTAGTATTTTACAATAAAAGGATGTGCTGTCGGATTTTCGATTGCATTTTTTATGTGTAGATTTGGTGTATGTTTTTTTTTGGTCAAGAGAATCTGATATGAAGAGGAAGGAACCATCTCGATTGTGGGTTATTTCAAAATAGTAATTTTGAAACAAAAGGTTACCCCTTTAACCACTAATCTAAGATAAGAAAATACTAAATTCCTAAGTTTAAGAATAAAATCACACAAAATATATCATGAAAAAATCATTAAATTATACATCATACTGTAAAATTATTAAAAAGAAAGAAAGAATTAAACCTCAATAAGAAAAAGGTGATAACTTACAGCATTTCTAAGCTTGGGATGAAGCTGTTGAATAACGAGTGCGAAACTACGAGACACTTTGTGAAGCATGGAGAAACAGAAAGCCCAGTGAGGCTCTGATGGAATCTGCTTCCCAGCATGCCTTACTGCCATTTTCAGTTTCAATAATGGATAAAGATCATGTGGGTGTTTCACCAGCGTCCCCAAACTCCCCATTCTCTTAAAAGATATCCGGGTATCTTAATTCATGCACGTAGGAATGAAAGGGTGATGGTGGGGTTTCTCTGAGGGAACTAGTTTGGTTCTTGTACTTGATTTATACAGAATGATGTTTGGGATTTTGTCAATGATTTTGACAATAAATTTAATGCGGTTTTATTTGTCAAACTTGGGTTAGTTCTACTCTTCGTTTCAATCAATCTGATTATCAAATCAAGCGACAGTGTTTGTGATAACGTTGTATGAATTTACGTACAAAATAGATATTTTCGTTGAACATTTAATTTTATAATTAATGTATGATATATATACATTTAATTTGATTGGGCCTTCTCTCTTTTCACATTGTTGTCAAAGACGTTTTGCGCAGAAGTTTTTTGATTAATGCAGGGGGTCAATGTCCTTCCCATAGCTAGCTTTCTTTGTCTTAAAAGGTCTTCCACTTGGTGCTTGACTTGTTATGACATTTTAGTTTTTAATAAAATTTAATTTTTTTAAAAAATATATATCATATTTAAAGAATTAAAATTAAATCTCTTCTTTCTCAATATAAGAAATCAATTAGATACTTACAAAATTTTTAAGCGTCGGGTCAAGCTGTGGAATAACGATAGCAAAACTGCGAGAGAAGTCGTCAAGCATGGAGCAGCAGAAACGCCAATGAAGCTCTGATGGGATATGCTTCTCTGCTTGACTTGAAGCCATTTTGAGCTTCAACAATGGATACAAATCATTTGGGTGTTTCAGAATCGCTCCCAAACTCTCCATTTCAATTCTTATTCAAAGAAAAAACTGAAATCTGGGTTTATGACTTCAGGCACTAAAGAGTGAAGGGTTGGTTGCGAATTATTGGGGAGGAAAATGAAGGGTTTCTATACATAGTGGATTGAAGATGATGCTTGGCTTTGGTCTGTCGTGGGTGTCCATCACCATGATCAGTTGGCAGTTGGGACTGACAAAATTTGTACAATAAAAATTAATGTGGTATCATATTTAATTATCATTATATTTTCAGTTCAAACAATTTGATCTCGAATTTTTGATGAAACCTTTAACAATTCTTAATGAATTGACTCTATAAATTTAAAAAATCATTGCCGAATCTAATTATCAGTTGAATTAATTGGCACATGGCATTCAGTCATTACGTTGCCTCCTCCCATCTCCCGCGATTGGGATTCAGATAACGAGGAAGGGCGCAAGGGCTAGCATATGTATGGACTACGGTCTCTTCTCCCGTCAGAAACCAACCCTTTTCTAATCTAAGCTTGTAAAAAGAAATTTGTGTTGATGGGTTTAAACGTGGCCTACGAGAAAAAGGTGTGCCACTAATTATTCAGCATTCTCGTGCTCTTTACATTTTCACATTTTTTTTAAAAATATATTTTAGATTGATATATCCGCACATGGTCAAAATTATGCAATTTCTCAAATATTTTCCTATATATAAAAAGTCTCACACTTTTATATATTTGAAATTATTTTTATTTGTCTCTTAGCTTGGATTAATTTTTAATTTTTAAAACATCTTAAATTCTTAGTTTATATTGAAATTAAGTATAGTTCTTTAAAAAGCTATTGAATTATTTAAAAAAATTTAAAATAAAATTTTATTTTTATTACATTTAATCAAATTTTAATATTTTTATTTACACTAAATAGATCTTTATTTTTTTAAAAAAAGTAAAATAGATTTTTATAATTAATAAAAATTATTATTATTAATTAAAATATCAATTGTCATTTTATACTTATATGATGTTAACATAATTTGATGTGGATTATAAAAAATATTATATGATCATATCATAATGCCACTTTAAGATATTATATCACTATCTATTATGATATATACGTTAGCATATAAAAATAAAAAATTATATTTTAATTAATAATTAATTAATATTAATTATAAAAATTATTTAATTTAAAATAAAAATATAAAAAAATTATTATAAATTATAAGCAAGATAAGTTCTTTACGATGCAGCAAATATCAGAAGGTATAATAAAAATAAAACTTTATTTAAAATTTTTTAGATAATCAAAAGTTTTTTGGATATTATATCAAAAAATTATATATATATATATATATAAATTATTTTTGCTTTTTATCGCCCTTAACTTTTTGTCTCGACGAGCAAGGACTGAACGCTCCCAAACATTGCCTTAAAATATCAAAATAAGAAGCACTGGGACAGAATCTGCTCCCATCGGCCACCGGTGCAACGCAAGAGTCAATTTTTTCGACAAAGAAAAAATTTCACGTTTTTGTCTTTCCACCTTACTTTCATGGCACGTGTACGTTGACCACATGTAAACGGATGGACTGAAGTTGCCAAACCAAAATTAAGGTGCACATATTTCACACCGGTGTGCAACAGTTAACGAATATGTGGGTTTCCTATTATTCAACGAAAGATACTTCTCTTCTATTCAATAAATCTTATCTTATTCATTTGAAAATTTAAATCCGAAATTTTTAATATTTTAATATTAAAATAAAAATTGATATTTTCCGTTTTTAGAAAAAAATTGTATGGCCAAATGCAATGGAATATTGATAAATTGATAAATCGACGGCCATGTTTTAAGGGAGATATTAAGGTTTTTAAATTAATATTCTCATGTTATAATATATTAGAGTAAAACAATGGAGCATATAAAATAAGAACGAGTAATGCAAAATATATCAAATAATTTACTTTCTTCTCATTCTTATCAAAATATTTTAATAAGTCAACACTTACTCAATTTTCAAATATCGAATGTTTTAATTATTTCTCCTCTCTTACGGAAGACTTTCACGTAAAGAAATGTCTAGTGTCCCATTTTTCATCATTAAAATCATTGGCTGGTTTTGCTTCTAGTCATTAAAAGATCAGACTTGGACGGTAGAAATCTTGTAATGATTGTAATTGATACCAAACTTTCTGTTTTTATTTCGAGCAATACAGCAAATTCTTAGGTGGAGTTGAACCTTTCTTTTAAATTAAAATAAAAATTAAAAAAACTACAAAAATATGAATCAAACCAAATCTAAATAAAAATATAAACTATTATTGTCTTATTGATTATAGTCAAAGACTTCTAGCTGGCTAAATTTCAGCCATTGACTAGCGTTGCAAAGGGGCCAAAGGTTAGAGGGGGCGACTTTGCTCACACGCCTATGGCACCTACTTCTTCGTTGGGACGTATAAATAATGGTGGATGTTGGTCAGAACACCTGAAAAAGTGATCCACCAGGATTACTATATTCTTAATCCAAAGCCATTTATTTTGATTTTTGCGTGCTTCGACCGTATCCACAAACAAATTAAAAAAAAAATGGTATACTTTTGATTGATTATGATCACATTGAACCATTTGACCAAAAGAAAAAAAATGAAGGCACTGAGCAATTGCTTCAAACAGTTTTTCCTTAATCAATGAAAACGGTATTTCCTATTTTATTAGTATTTAGAAATTTCTTAGAATTACATTGGTTAATGAAACTAGCAGGTGCAAATTCATATTTTGTTAACTGATATTCCCGTGCAACAGCTGTTAGAAGCTGCAGTGTAATTGCTATTGGAAAAGTACCATGACAGATATTGCTCTGTATTGATTGAGTTCATTATACCTGCAGCCTTCCGTCAAAATTTATGCTGAATAACAAACATAAGGAGAACTGCTTCCTGCAAAGAATCATCAAACCAGAATTACTTAAGTACGTGCTCATCATGACCAAATCTTGCAAATTTGGACATCCTTTTGGGTGCCCCTGATTACTGTTCTGAACAGTTGTATGGCGGATTGATGTAATTAATTAAGAAATATTGACTTCTTGGAATCTCTTAGAAATTATGCATATTTATATCAGATGGAACGGAAGCTTATTTATATGGCCAGCATCTCATGTTTTAGTTAACCTGAGTTTAGCATCATCTCCAGATTGGACAGTGTGTTGATATTCTGTTTTTTTTTTTTTTTTTTTTTTTTTTTGCATTTGTCCAATACACCTTTTGCTACACAGTCTGCACTCTCGAGAGAACATTGCTGGTATGTATGTTAAAATGACTCTGACTTCATTCATTCCTATAACTGTATTCTGATAGGAATCTGACAAAAGAAATTGTTGAATCATAGTTAACAAGCATATTCACTTGAATATAAAAGTAGTCAGTTGTGTCCTAATCTCCTAGAATGGTAGGCTTCTCCATCATCAGATACTGCTCTTCTTTTGCAAGCTGCACGGGATCTTAATTTCATTGGATTATCAATGAGCAGATGGTTTACATTGGGTGCTCCGATGTTGTTGGTAGAGATCTCTATTATTTTGGATTTCCTAACATCAAACTTTTGCGATCTTGGTTATTTTGGTGTATCAACTTCACTTTCCTGTTTTTCCTGTTACCAGCTGGGTTTGCAGTCTTGGTTCCCTTGCTCTGGGGCCTTAGCCCTTAACCGTTTTATATCTCTCAAAAGGCTTGCTTTACGTAGAGGATCCGACCCAAAAGCAAAAGGATGTCTGATAGCGTCCAACTATCAAACTCCACTCTTCCTGCTGACAAGTCGTGCTTAGTTCTTGAGAACTGGCGTGTCCTGCCTACGAAATATCAACCTGTCGTTGTTCTTAGTGCCTTGATGAGGAACAAAATATTTCGAGCAAGGCACGGCATACGGTACCAGCCAGATGAGTCATTTTCATTTTTTTTCCAATCTTCATTTTCCGTTTCTGAACCCATTTTGAAGAAATTAGCTAATTTCTAGCATTTTCTAGCTAATTCCCAAAGGCAGGGAACAAAAAAAAGCAAGTTGTGTTGGCATTTTCTAGCATTTGAGGTTCCCCTTGTGGGTCAGGACTTTGTCTTCTTACACAACATCTTTTTAATTAGATTAAAATTATTAGATAGGAAAAGCTATAGTTATTTGAAAATATAGAAGAAAGGAAAAAAATAATGAATGTACACGGTTCTAAAACTGAGAAAAAAATAAGCATAATGTAAATTATGGTGATATTTGATATGAAGAAGATGGGTGTACATTTTTTGCAAAGTGATCAACTATTGATTATATTTATTTTAAAAAAATTTAAATCATATTTTTTATAAAATAAAATCTTATTATATCCTAAGTGTTATTTGACTTATGAAACCAAACTCAACAATTGATTTTAATAATATTCTAGATATTATCACATGCGTTAAGAGCAATTAATTTAGCTTTATTTTTTCTTTCTCAACAAATTGAAAATTTTATGTCAATGGTATATACGTTCTAAGCAAGTTTGTAATTTAAATTGATTTTTTTTCTTAATTTTTGTGAGATAAACGATAAACCATAAAATGAGTAAAACTTAAAAGAAGATTACATGCACCAGATCAATGCGACACCAACGACCAAAAATTTGACCGGAACGATGCTTTAAAAGTACGCAAATCGGACGGTTAAAAACACAGCCCGTAGTCCTCTAACGGTTAACCATTTTAAGACGTTAACTTTAATCGGTTGCTGGCGGTAACCTTAGCCGCCAAAGGCTGTTTTCTTTATCCATGACTTTGCCTCCATTTCTTTCAAATCTTGCGTTTATACTCATTAGGTTTCTCTGCTTCAATTCCTTGCCAAAAACCCAAAGAGGAAAACTAAGAAAATGCAAGCCAAGGCCCTCCTAACTCATCCTTTTCTCACTCGCCCTCTCCTAAACCCTAACCTGAAACTCCGCCCTTCCCCTTCTGTGTTCACTAAGAAATCCACTCTCTCAACCCCTCGTTTTCACCAATCCTTTTTACGTTCTTGTTCACGCAATTTTGTCCCCCAGAATCAAAGTAGTAAACTGAAACGTTACTGCATTAGCCCTAGCCAGGAACTAAATTTTGAAAGCAATGAAGCTTTGGTTGAAGAAGAAGAAGAAGAAGAAAAAGAGGAGGATGAGGAAGAGGTGAGAGTGGAAATTGAGGCAGAAGGATTAGCAAATCAGAGCATATGGAATCAAATGAAGGAGATTGTGATGTTTACTGGACCTGCTAGTGGGCTTTGGATCTGCGGGCCATTGATGAGCCTCATTGACACTGCGGTTATTGGCCAAGGAAGCTCAATTGAGCTTGCTGCTTTAGGTAACTAATTCCTTGGGAATTTTTATTTCGGTTTTGATAAGTAATTGCGGAAAAGAGAAAGAAGAAAAAATTGAACATGAATACTGGGTACTGGGTGTTTTTTTTTTTCTTTTGCTTTCAAAGATATATGATAATTAGTCGAGTGGTAACTGATTGATAGTGAATTTGGATGGGCAGGTCCTGCAACGGTTGTTTGTGATTATATGGGTTACGTGTTTATGTTCCTTTCAGTTGCTACTTCCAATATGGTGGCCACTTCCCTTGCTAGACGGGTTAGTTTCTTGAACACTCGAGGGTGTTATTGCTTTTATATGAGTACTAATATATATATATATAATGTCATCGTTAAGTTGGTCTCACGAGTTAAAGAAATACTTTAAAATTAATATAAATTTAAATATTATATTTATAAAGGATAAATTGGTGACTGAACATGATGGTTTTCATATAGCACTGGGATTAGAAACTTTGTGGATATTGTTCACTTGTATGCTACATCTTTATGCAGCATTATTGCATGAATATTTCATTTTATTTAACTAGTTAGTACAGACTCTGATTTGTCGGTCTTTCTTTTCGATGACGCTCTGGATTTTGGATCTTCTTTGTAATTAGTTCTATTTGCTTCTCTATGTTAAGGCTGCATTTTACGCTTAACTCTTTAACAATATGGTGTTGCTGCAGGATAAAAATGAAGTCCAGCATCAGATATCTATCCTGCTTTTTATTGGGTTGATTTGTGGATTCTTGATGCTTTTCGTTACAAGATTATTTGGTTCACAGGCCATAACTGGTAATAAAGACCAGTAAAGCTATTTTTAGTTGCAGATTATCAAATGTAGGATGCTTATTGATTGTAATGATCAGCCATACTTATGATTTTCACTCCTCATAGATAGCAAGAATTCAAAGAAAATATTAAATTGCTTCTGTTCTTTGATCCTTTCAGCTTTTTCTGGGACAAAGAATGCACATCTTGTACCTGCTGGAAACGCATACGTTCAGGTTCATAGTCTTCCATGTTCCTTCCTCATTTAAACTTTCAGATATTCTCTCTTAGTAGGCTTTCTTCCCTTTAAACCTTAGAGTTAGTTCGAAGGAAGGGTAACTATAGTATTGGAGGCCTTTTTTCTTCCATCTGTTCTAATTCCTTTCCTCTCGACTGCTCATACTTCAGAGATTTTGAGAGAATGTTCTTCTTTGGCAAACTTAAGCACAGTTCTAAGTAAATGTATCACTTTCAATTTGTTATAGGTTGTTTTTATCTAGTGGTATGTCAAATTATATGTACCAGGTTAAAGTATCTCCTGAAATATTTTCCATCTTCAATAGGTGATGGGATTGGAAGTACTGTATCTGCTTTCATCTGTTCATGTGTTTATCATGGGATGGAGGGGAGAAGCTATATAGTCTTGTTGAGGCCATACAGCCCTAGTTGGAGTTAGACAACATAAAGTTTTCTTTGGGAACTGAGACCCATTACTCTTTGCATCTAGTTGGGTAGTATCAGTTGCTGAATTCCTGTTCCTACCAATTTTTATAACATATTCTTTCTGCTGGATATTCTTCCATAGCAACTGGTTGAATGATTTTGTCTAATAGTTACACTTATGGGACTTTTCTCTGGCAGTCATGCTTGATTATTCTCGTTTCTTTTTAATTGAAACAAAATTCTTTCTGTATGTAGATTAGAGGTCTAGCATGGCCGGCAGTTCTTGTTGGATGGGTTGCTCAAAGTGCCAGGTGGTGATCTATTTTATTTTCTCCCTTCCCATGAATTATGTTTGAATAAGCTTGCACTGCCTTCTTCTTGCCTTTTATGAGTTCTTGACAAACTATACATAGAAGTGATGCATGTACTGTCTTGTGAGTTCCTTTCCACCGAGCTTTTGGCAAGGGTTTGTTTACTTTTATTGTATTTGTTTGTGAAATGAGGCTGCTTTAGCTGGACTCCTTAGTGTCCAGTTATAACCAAGGATATTAACAAAGAAGCTATTTGGATTATTTATGATCTTATGGGATTGATTATCTATTTAAAAGTGATTTTCATTCACATGCATATATTTACTCTGCATAACTTTTATGTCCTATGCCGGCATCCCTGTTTTAGTAGGATTTATTGTGTCCTGATTACTGGTTGATTTTCCATTGTTGAACTGCCAACATTGTGAGCATTTGTTACTTCATTTTCTTTTCTGGTACTCTGACGCTCTCTTTTTGTCTCCCAGTCTTGGTATGAAAGATTCCTGGGGACCATTGAAAGCTTTGGCAGTTGCCACTGCCATAAATGGCATTGGTGATGTTGTCCTCTGCATCTTTTTAGGCTATGGTGTTGCTGGTGCAGCATGGGCAACAATGGTTTCACAGGTGCCAATGGAAATTTGAAAATGACAACACAGATCCAAATTTCCTATGTGTATACATTTTAAGTGTTAATTGACCGGGAAATTCTTTTGACACCGCCACTTACCAGCATATGTTCTAGGTTGTTGCAGCTTATATGATGATTGAAGCTCTGAACAAGAAAGGGTACAATGCATTTTCCATCTCCATTCCATCACTCAATGAGCTGCTGGCTGTGCTAACGCTTGCTGCTCCAGTATTTGTAACTATGATGTCAAAGGTTTACATTAAACTTCATTTAATAGCACTATCTGGTACTCTGTGATCATCTCCTTTCATCTAAGACAGTTTGGTGTTTTTTTAGGTAGCTTTTTACTCTCTGCTTATATATTTTGCCACGTCTATGGGCACACATACTGTTGCTGCTCATCAGGTGAGATATACCCACATTTGTTATTTTTGGTCAGTTTCTTCTTGCATTGCTAAAAATCAATAACCATTATTTTGTCAACTTACTTTTCACTAGGTCATGCTTCAAACACTCGGCATGTGTGCCGTATGGGGTGAGCCTCTCTCTCAAACTGCACAGTCATTTATGCCCGAGTTGATATGTGGAGTCAATCATAATTTGTCAAAGGTTCATTATCTCAATTTTAATCTTATGCTGATTGCCTCTTCCCTGCCTCAACAGCACTAATGTACACCATAGAGTATCTAGTACAACATCTGTCTATGAGGATGTTGTCCTCTAACGTGTGTTGAATTGTTTATGATATCAAACAGGCTAGACTGCTGCTGAAATCACTTGTCACCATTGGTGCTACACTTGGACTGGTATTAGGGATTATTGGAACTGCAGTTCCTTGTTTTTATCCCAATATCTTTACACCTGATCCCAAGGTCATACAGGAGGTTAGTTCATGTTTCTCTAACTTGTAATCTATCGTTCTTGTTTCCACCAGTTAATGCTATTTGTTGCACCATGAGTAGAAAAGAATCTGCATTAGGTCTATGTTCCTGTTCTGATATGACTCCCAGAAATTCAAACCTGAACATTTTCCTATTTGCTAAACATCTTGTGTCTATATTCACTCGAAAACTGAGACTTCCTGTTGGTCTTGGATTGAAGGTATAGGATATGAACAAAATGGTATTTATACATATATGACATGTGGATCCTTTAAGTATTTGATCCTTGGTATTTCATTTTTGTGTACATGCAGATGCACAAGGTGCTGTTACCATACTTTCTGGCATTAGCAGTGACCCCAAGCACTCACAGCCTTGAAGGCACTTTGCTAGTATGTTTCTTTAATTTAAGTTTGAACATCTCGATTCAAAATAACTTGGTTTGCCAGTTGTCCATATCATCATTCATCATGAGAATTAATGACAAAACATGCGCTAACTTCTCTAATTTACATCCTATCATCACAAATCCATTTGCTTTTTGTAGGCTGGACGAGATCTTAGATTTATTAGCTTGTCAATGTGTGGATGCTTTGCTTTTGGTGCACTTCTACTGCTGGTAGAGATCCATTTCCTTGTCCCTATTGACTACTGTTTATCTCACACGTTGCATGGATTATGCAGTAAAATCATCATAACTTTATGTGTTCCCAGCTTATGAGTACTAGAGGATATGGCTTGCCAGGGTGCTGGTTTGCACTTGTGGGGTTCCAATGGGTAAGAGTAACCATTCTAACATTTGCATTGAGGCCATTTGTTTCAGATGATTTGAATGCTGAAATTCTAACTTTTTCAGGCTCGATTCTCCCTCTCCCTTCAACGTCTTCTTTCTCCCAATGGCATACTCTACTCTGAAGATTTGAGACAGTATGAAGCGAAGAAGCTGAGAGCGGCTTAGTTTCAGAATCCAACAGTTGTAGAACCTTATGTCATTGACTACTATCGGATGCCATGCATCTTATGTGCATATATTGCTTTGCTGCTAAAGTGGCCCGAGCTTTCACCGAGCCAGCAAAGATCCTAGTGTTTTTTTTAGAAAATGGTCCAGAGATCATTCATTCTTTGAACTCAATAAGGAGCCTAAAAGAAGCATATAGCCATAAGCAGTGTTATGTTTAACCTTTTATATAAGAAAATTTGTGAATCCCTGCTTTATTCAGAATTTTAGGGCAAGGAGTAAAAAACTCTGATCATTCCCGCCGTAAAAGCAAACATGATCCTGACATACCAACTAGAGAAAATGCCGTTCTGGGGTGCAGAGGACGTAGCTTTTACCTCGTCTTAAGAAATATTCCTCATTACAGTTCAGCGTTCAGACTTCAAAAACACGGGGTGGGGGGCACTGTACCTGCAAATACGATTGTTAACTGGGGAGCTTCTGGTCAGGGATCATCTGTTAATCCCAATCCAAGTTAGGCTGCACCTGGCCTACGACAAGTGCCAGGGAATGCAAATTCAGGTTGTACTGCTCCTGGGAATGCAATGCCAGGGTGGGCACCACCTGGCCAAGGGCCTGCCGTTGTTAATCCCAGTTCTGGATGGGTTGCACCCAGGCAAGGGGCAGCACCAGCAAGTGCGAATCGTGGTCATGCGGCCCCTTCTGGAAATTCAGGCATGTCAGTCTTCAACTCCTAAGTAAATAATTTCCTTCCTATTCTGATTTCAGTTAAAGTGTGAAGTAGCCATGTTCAATTACTAGAATTACAAAATGTGGCTCAAATTGCCTAATGATGACTGGTGATCTAAGGCTATGGGGTCGGACCGTGCCGCTTCTTGTTAGGCACTCATCATACTCAGAATATTAACGCAGCCCAAGCAAACAAAAGTTTAGAAAGAAGGTTCGGCTTCGCAAATTAAGACAAATTTGCAAAGGTTTGAAGTGGTGGTTGACCTTGTCTAAATCCTTTTTTGGAGATCAGTTTAGCAATCAAAAGAGAGTTAATAAATCTTTGAGCCAAAAACGAAGGGTCAAGGAAGAGCCGGAATCACTAAACGGTTGTTGATAACTAATTTTTTTTTTAATTTGTATTGAATCAAATAATTTGATTAAAATGTGGTTATCATTTTAGATATCAACCTTTCTATAAAACTCTCCTTTTTTTCACCCTGATCTCTATAAAACTCTCCGCCCTTTTCTTGATCTTCAAGTGTTACTTAATAATTGAGTTTTCTTTTTCTATGAAGCCCTGCTTTGCCCTATCAGCAACATGGTTAACAGCTTCGGACACGGGCAGATTTCTCACCTCGTATTTGATCACTAGGAAAACCGAGGAATAGAGAGAACCTAAATATTTATAATATTAGTTTAATCTTTCTAATTATGAAAGACAAATGAGGTATTATATGGATGGATTTTAAATTTTTTTTAATCTTTTTATCTCGAAAAGTTTATTGATCTTTTTAAGCCTCTTTCTTATTAGTTTTGAGATGTTTTACCTTCACAAGCATGGGCAAAGGCAGAAATGCAGAAGTTAGAGATTTATTTATTTCATTTACTTTTGTTTTCTGTTCTCATGCTGTTTAATGTTTTGTCACCATGTTTTCGATTTGTTCTTTATAATTTATCATTGTCCGAAGATTGTTGATGTTCAGTAGTAACGTTTTTTTCTTACATGTCATACTATAAAATTAAAGAAATTAATTAAACCTCAATAAAGAAAATGTGATAACTTACAGCGTTTCTAAGCTTGGGGTCAAGCTGTTGAACAACGAGTGCGAAGCTACGAGAGACTTTGTGAAGCATGGAGACACAGAAAATCCAGTAAGGCTCCAACAGAATCTGTTTCCTAGCATGCCTTGCTGCCATTTTCAGTTTCCATAATGGAAAAAAATCATCTGGGTGTTTCACCAGCGTCCCCAAGTTCCCCATTCTTTTAAAGGAATCTTGGTATGTTAATTTAGGCACGTAAGAATGAAAGGGTGGTGGGGGGTTTGTGAGGGAACTAATTGGGTTCTTGTAGTTGATTTCTACATAATGATGCTTGGGATTTGGTCTATTCCGGCGTCCATGAATGGGCACAATTAATGCTGGTTACTGTGATGTTGACAATTGATTTAATGTGGTTTCATCGTTCAAATTTGGGTTAGTATTACTTTTTCAGTTTTAGGGTTTCAATCATTCTGATTGCCAAACCAAGCAGTGTTTGTGATAATGGCCTGTTAATATATATTTACACTGAACATTTAGATAAATATAAATAATGGTGGAATTTGGTCAAAACATCAAAAAAATTAGTAATCATGGTCATTATTATCTATAACATACTTAAAAAGAAAATCTCAAACGTGTAATCACGTGTCTATTTCAAAAAATACTTAAAAAATTAAATAATATTTTTTAAAAAAGAATTTAAAATTATTCACGTGAGTTGTAAAGATATGAATTTTATGTAAACCGCATGCATGAATGTCTTATATTTGATCAGCATGTATCGCACTGGTTGTACTCAAGTATTCTTAATTTAAAACCATTATTTTGATTTTTGTTTGCTTATTGATCTTGGTTAATTGATTATGATCACGTTGAACAATTTTGGCCGAAGAAAAAATTGACGGCACTGAACAATTGCTTCAAACAGTTCCTCTTTAATGAAAACGTTTTTCCTTTTCATTTTGGATTTTAACTTCTTTTTATTTTATATATTAAAAATGATGAGAATAATAAAGATAAGGAGAACTGCTTCCTGCAATGAATCATCACACCATAATAACTTAAGGTCATGTTCGTCATGACCAAATCTGCAAATTTGGAGATCATCTTGGGTGCTTCATATCATGTTCTGGACAAGTTGTATTGCGGATTGATATAATTATTCAAGAAATACTGACTTCTAGGAATCTCATAGAAATTATGTATATTTGTATCAGATGGAACGGAAACTTATTATATCAGTGATCCGTATCGGATTCTTTTTCCCAATCTTCATTTCCCATTCCTGAAACAATTCTGAAGAAATTAGCTAATCTAATATTCATCAAAAGCAGCTTCTGCAATTACTGAAAGTTCTTTTACTTGAAACAACAAACATGATCACGACATCCCCACTCGAGAAAATCTCGTTTTACGGTGCAGAAAGACGTAGCTTTGACCCTGTCTGAAGAAACATTTGTCATTAGAGTTCACAGTTCAGACTTCAAAGACAAAGATTGTGGTGTATGTCAAACCTGCAATTTACAGACAGAAAATTTGAGACCAGATTTCGTGGACCAGATCTTGACAAGACCGACCCCAAAGGCCCAAGGTCATGGGATGGTACCATCCGTCAGATGCTGAGATTCTTCTAAAGGCCGGATCCCTTTTGGGGCCCACTGTAATAAAAGAACCACCACGAGGCTTTGAACTGTTATTCTGTGTCCGAACACCGAACACTGAACGCCTCTTTTTTCTCCGTTACTTTTTGGTTTCTCTGCTCCAAATCTTTTAGCTCAGGAGATGCAAGCCGGTACCCTCTTTTACCCTCCTCTACATAACCCAAATCCTAAACCCTGCTCTTGCTACTTTTCAACATTCTTCAACAAACCACCACCACTGTCTTCAACTCGCTTTCACATTTCTCATTTCCCTCCTAAAATGCAAGCCAGAACCCACTTTTATCCTCCTCTACATAAACCAAATCTTAAACCCTGCTCTTGCTACTTTTCAACGTTCTTCAACAAACCACCACCACCACCACTGTCTTCACCTCGCTTTCACATTTCTCATTTCTCTCCTAAAAACCATCTGAACTGTTTCGTTACAAACTGCATTGCTCCTAACCAAGAACTATCCCATTTCAAGGCTGAAATCACTGAACAAAATGATGATTTTGAAAATATTATCTCTACGAATTCAACGCCCGACCAAGGAGATGAAAAAGAAGAAGAGGAAAGCTTGGAAAATCAGAGTTTATGGAACCAAATGAAGGAAATAGTTATGTTCACGGGACCCGCAACTGGGCTTTGGATTTGTGGGCCATTGATGAGTCTCATTGATACTGCCGTCATTGGTCAGGGAAGCTCAATTGAGCTTGCTGCTTTAGGTAAATTTTCTTTTTAAAGATTTTTTTTTGTCATTTGGGTATTCATTTTGCGCTTTTGGTTAAATTAGAAAGACAAAAGTTTTTGAAGTTGAGCTCTTCTGGGAAATGAAGCGGGACTAAATATTTTTTTCTGTTAGCTGAGTGTGGATTGGTTTCCTCGTGGTTTGGAATGGACAGGCCCTGGAACGGTTCTTTGTGATTATATGAGTTATGTATTTATGTTCCTTTCTGTTGCGACATCAAATATGGTTGCCACTTCCCTTGCCAGAGAGGTCAGCTTCTTCTACCTGTTAAATAGTTGTATTATTTTTGTGTTATAAGATAATCAAAGCATTGATCTTCATCTTTAAAGGTTTTCTTTGTTTAAAGGAAGGACCTAGTGCGTTAGACACCCCTTGGATTTCTAATCTGTCTAAATCGGAAAGGAAAAGAGAGAGCAAATCGCAGATGTGAGGAGCTAGGAAAGTAGAAGTTACCAAACCATGTTCATGAAGCAGGCTTTACTATCAAAAGAAGAACTTGATGAATTTTCGGCCCTGTGATGTATTTTGACAATAGGCAGTCTTAATATGCCGTGCCTGTACTTTTCTGTAGCAATTGCAATTATCCATGCTGATTATGTCATTAATGCGATTGATTAGATTATGGTTTCTCGATGTTGTATGCTATTTGTTTTTGTATTTTAATCAGACACCATGGTGCAGGATAAAAATGAAGTGCAGCATCAAATATCTGTCTTGCTTTTTCTTGGTTTGACTGGTGGCTTGTTCATGCTGTTCTTTACAAAATTCTTTGGTTCATGGGCACTAACTGGTAATTGACAGCTTATGTTTATTTCGTCACATAAGTTTACATGTTCTGTTTAGCTAGATATTCAGTTTTTATTTCTTTTTTTTCATTACCTTATGGATAACAAGAACCTGTAATGACACCAAGTGACTGATTAATTTCTCATGCTTTCTCTTTTTTTTTTTTCAATTTCCAGCTTTTACAGGGCTGAATAATGCACATATTGTACCAGCAGCAAATACATATGTTCAGGTCCATCTTTGGCAAGTTTTAATTGTGTTTCATCTCTTGTTTCAAAATATTAAAAGCATTCCAATAACGTCTAAGATGGGAATTGTTTCCCTTCTCTTTCGTTGATTGTAGTCCATTAGTATATTCACAAACAAAAAGAATAACAATATTCTAGAGGATTTTTATTCTTATGTTCCTCTCTGTTTCATGCTGTTAATCATTTGAAACAGTTTACGGCATCGTCCTCTACTTATTTTATTCTGTTAATTTTTAATTGAACAGAATCTTTTCTGTTGATAGATTCGTGGCTTGGCATGGCCTGCAGTTCTTGTTGGATGGGTTGCTCAAAGTGCAAGGTAGATGTATACCATTTCTCTTAACCTGGTTGTTTTCTAAACCTTCTTGACATGCTAATTTGCATCTTTCTAGCTTTTAAGTGTGAAAGTTTCTACATGGGGATGCACATGCATCTTTACTTATGTTAGGATTTTGTCTGTATCTTTTTTATTCTGATTTATCCTTTTTCTTCCCCCAGTCTTGGCATGAAAGATTCCTGGGGACCTTTGAAGGCCTTGGCAGTTGCCAGCGCTATAAATGGAATTGGAGATATAGTTTTGTGCAGCTTATTAGGCTATGGCATAGCTGGTGCTGCTTGGGCAACGATGGTGTCACAAGTATACTCAGTGAAAACTTTTTGGTTTATCATTCATAGTTTTATCATCTTTATTTTAACCTGCACAAATTTGTAGATTCTTTCTTTATCTTATTGTTTCTAATTTCTTAAAAACTTGAACCTTGCATCCTAACCAATCTATTTCCCAGGTTGTTGCTGCTTACATGATGATCAATTCTCTAAACAAGAAAGGATATAATGCATTTGCCATCTCCACTCCATCTCCCAATGACCTTCTAACAATTTTTGGGCTTGCTGCCCCAGTGTTTGTGATGATGATGGCAAAGGTTTGTTGCATTTTACATTATTCTAAAGCTTTATTTGCTTAATTATGATTTTCTTTTACCCATATATCTTAGGCCTTTTTATGTTTTAGGTAGCTTTCTATGCTCTCCTTATCTATTTTGCGACAAATATGGGCACACACACTGTGGCTGCTCATCAGGTTAGTCAATTCTCTCTGATAGTTTCGATATCTCTGCTCTCTCATTTTAAAACTGTTGGTTCTTAACATTGAGTCTGTGCTTCACTGTAGGTCATGATTCAAACCTACTGCATGTGCACTGTGTGGGGTGAGCCTCTCTCCCAAACTGCACAGTCATTTATGCCAGAATTGCTATATGGAATTAACAAAAGTTTACCAAAGGTACTGATGCCAAATCTTCATTTAGTGCTGCAGCCATCTTATCTTTGCATGGTGATTTTATCCACTCACAGCCACACTTATGAAATATATCTGAAGAGTTTCTTTCAATAATATTAGTTACGTGGCCATTCTCTATAATTGTTGATAAATGCAGGGGTGTACCTTCCAGTGTGAGTCGTATCATACATCTATATTGAATAAATTTTTGTCTGCTCGATCTTTACTAAGCTTACAATGTCAAACAGGCTCGAATGCTGCTAAAGTCCCTTGTTATCATTGGAGCTAGCCTAGGACTTCTATTGGGTATAGTTGGAACATCAGTTCCTTGGCTGTTTCCCAATATCTTCACATCTGACCAGAAGGTCGTACAAGAGGTTAGTTCTTGCAATTTTCAACTTTATGACCTTCTCTATATTCTTATTGTACAAGTTGTCACCATGTCTCTGGTAGTCCTATGAAATGTTAGAAGTGAAGGATCCGGGGAAGTATTGCTCTGTCTCTACTCTCTAGTACTTTCAACATGAGGAGATCACATTACCTACAATTCCGAGCTTTAGCTGAAGAGAATGGATGCTTAATTGCAGATGCACAAAGTGCTGGCACCTTACTTTATTGCACTAGCAGTGACACCAGCCACTCACAGCCTTGAGGGGACATTGTTGGTATGTTTTATATACCCTTGTCCTTTTAGTCCTTTCGTGAAGTTTTCATGAGTTTCTCTTTTATGTGTCTATGCCCAGATTTTATTTGAAATTATGTTTGAAGTTGCCAGTCTGTTAGCTCATAATATGCATAATATTATCAGATGCCTGCTGAAATCTGATGTCTTCCACTAATTTGCACGCGTAAAGATCATCTAAAGTTGATCACTAAGAAAACTGCCACTTTTACTTTCTTTTCTTGTTTGGGAACTAAATCTAGAGGGTGGTAAGCGGTTTCTTTGCTGATATGATTCTCAGTCATAGTTTGCTTCAGCCATTATCTATATTATTCATGGTTCAATGCTTCATGATAAAGCAGTTACATTAAAGCATCTAGAATTTTATATTCAAGCTCATATTCTAGCGTTATAACATTTGCCCTTGCAGGCAAGGCGAGATCTTAAATTTGTTAGCTTATCAATGAGTGGATGCTTTTCTTTGGGTGCTGTCGTACTACTGGTCAGGATCTGTTTCAAAACCCTTTATTTTCTTTCTTAAAACTTATTCAAATTTCTCATCCATTATGCTCCACTGTTTCTACTCTTGGTGCCAGCTGGTAAGCAGCGGAGGGTATGGCTTGCGAGGTTGCTGGTATACCCTCTTAGGATTTCAATGGGTAAGACCACCATCCTCACTCTGCAATGATGCATATGGTACCTACTTGGATCAACTTGAAAGCAACTTTCTTTTTCGATTCCAGGGTCGATTTTTCCTCTCTCTCCAACGCCTTCTTTCACCTCATGGCATACTTTTCTCTGAAGATTTGAACAAGTATAGGCAGGAGAAGCTAAAAGCTGCCTAGTTTATCATTGTTATGAGATGCATCAGAGGTACAATCAGCTGCCCTTTGCTGGAGAATCAAATTCCTCAGTTCTCACCTCTTAACTTGGATTGAGTTACTGCAGAATCAGCCTGTTCATTTTATCGTTGGCCACTGAGGATTAGGTCCTCATGATTCTTTTATGCCTCCGATGAGGCTTTGAGGTTCCTTTCTCTTTTATTTCAACAGCAAATTGTAATTGCGAAATCTTAATTCTCATTACTGCATGGTATCAACCCACACGGAATTCCAAACCCACTTGTTAAGTGCAGCTGATTTTGATGCCTGCTACATTTTCAATGGAGTTATCAACGGTTACCAGGTAAACGGCCCCAAGGCTCGTTTTAGGATAATGCATTTTATTCCAATTTCATTCAAAGATTATTAAAAAATGTACATTAATTTTTAACAAAAAAATTAATACTAATTCTTGAGGCCTTTGAGTCAGTTCAGATGACTACTCAGGCCTGAACCCACATCGGGCACGACCCCAAACCTGCCTAAGCGTGGCTCATTTGCGTCCTTTTCAATCTTGGGAGGGAAAGACAGATCAAAACTCTTTCAACCGCGGGTTAATTGACAGTTGCCAAGGCACATCTTCAAATTGAACAAAATTCTACCTATGGTAGGAAGCTACAAACTACTATATAAACATGAGCTTTGCATTCCTCAATCAACCCTGTCCTTTAACCCATCTCCAGTTTGTCTGAACATTACATACATCATATCTAGCAATGAGCCAAATGTTCTCTTTCATCAAGCAAACCTGTCATGGAAATGGCATCCTGAAAAGCGCAAGTCAACCCAGTTGCTGAAAAACAGCGTTCAAACCTTGCTGGTTCCCCTTCTACCACGCCCAGATGATCTGGGCGATGGTCCTTTCTGCTGCATATTTTACAGAACAGAATTAGAGAGGTCTTGCAACATGCTACAATAATGTGCATTTGAATCACTAAAAATGAAAGAAGAGAGTAAATTTCCAGATATATATTGTTGTTCTCTTTTGTCTTTACCATCAATGCAGGTTTCATCCTTGACTGCCTTCTCATAAAAACTCTCTGAGACTCCCTCTTTTTCTCCTCAGCTTTCATTTTGGTGAGACTAGGCCTGTATATGATCACAGTTCGGCCAATTTGACTAACCACAACAGAACCAGTTGCTTGCTTCAGTTGGTTCACCACATCCTCTAGCTCTCCTGGACAGGTATTGTGAATTTTGACCTATTCGCAAAGTTCTAGTTAAAGAATAAGAAATACAAATATTTCTCAACTTACACTCAACAAAAAGATCAATAGGCAGGGAATCTCACTGCCTCTTTCACCACTAACATTATCAATCTCTAACAAACATTTAACATCCGTGTGTGTGCACTAGTCTTCCCAAAGAACTTAGAATCAAGTTGTTGTCATATTTGATACTTCTTTTGTCCATCCGCATAAATTCTCTATGCAAAAGGATATGTAGTAGTGACAAGCATCTCACCAGTTACACTCTAAAGTTGCATGACCTAAAGACTCGAGGAACAGAGTCTAACCCAAAGCAAAGGGACTTACAAAAACCTGACATTTACTAACCATTAGCTTATAATGGTACTCAAATGACCGGGAACGATAATTTTAAGCTGCACAATCAGTAAGCAAAGCATCAAATTCAAAGAATCAGTTTTCATTTCCTAAAACAATTTAGACATACCACTAGATTTAATAGCCAAAGAGTATCCATTAACACAGTCAAAAGACTAAAACCCTAAACCCTGAACAGCAAAATTCACAAATTAAAACCCTTCAAAAGAAAGAAAGAAAAGATGGTACCTTTAGAAGTTCATTGGCTTCAAGGGTCTCTAGAAAAGAGAACACGACATTATCAGTAACACCAGATTTACCCACCAGTTGAGACTTTAACTTCTTCCCTAAACTGTGTGCATAAGAAGCCAGTTCTTTCTTTTCCTTAACTGTTAGATTCGGTAGTTTCACTCTCTTAACCTCGGAATTTCCCGCAATCACCTCCAAACCCAAATTTACAGGGCTACCCTCTTCAGCATTTTCAATCCCAAAATCATCCTCATCATCATTGCTATCACGTTCTTCAGCTTCAGAGTCAGATACTTGTTCTTCGTCTTGTTCTAGTTCTTTCTCTAGCAAAGATAAAGGGTTATTGTTACTGTGGTTTGAATTTGAGGAATTGGTAATAGAGAGAGATTGGGCTTGAGGGAAAGTGAGGAAAGAGTAGGATGAAAGAGAAGAAGAACGAAGGGGCCTTTGAATGGTTGAGATTTTATTGTGGAATCTTGAGATTGAGATGCAAAGAGGTCTCAGGTAGAAGCCAAGTGTTGCCGCCATTACTGTCTCAGGAACGTGGTCTTTTTCTGCTATAAACGATACAAAAATCAGGTGTGGGTGATGATAACATTGGTATTGAATGTTTAATATAGAACATAAGAAAACACTTAAGATCGCGGGTGTTTGGTCTAGTGGTATGATTCTCGCTTCGGGTGCGAGAGGTCGCGAGTTCGATTCTCGCAACACCCCACTTTATTTGGTATCCTTTGTTATTACCATATTTGTAGACGCTTAGGCTATAGCCCATCGCATCACGTTTTACCGCATCAAATCAATGAGAGTCTGAGAAAGCCGTTTAAATATAGAAGGGGATATATACCGTATCATTTTTACGTTGCTCAAGAATATGAAATCAGCAATCAGGAAGTCAGCAGCCTCAAGTTTCGTTTCATAGTCGACTCTCCCATCTTTTTCTTCATATCCACTGTCCACACTTCTTCAAACCCAAGCCAAACTTGAAGTTTTAACTGTACAACAATCTATTGAAAGATCCCAAGTATGAAGGCAGGCTTACTTTAGTATTGCTAGTAGAGCAACAGAGGCCACAAGGTAGCTGTAAATGAAGGCTAAAGGCTTTCAATGCCCATGTTCTGATTTGTTTCATAGATATTCAACCATAAATGGTCAGTATGAATGGATACCAATTAACATAAACCAAAGCTGAGAGGTCCCTCCAAACATGAAGGAAGGAGGAGACAAAATGCTGGACCTTTATCAATTGGAAGACTGCAGAGGCACAGCTTCCTAAAACGATCCATTCAGAAGAGTGATTTAAGTGCTTCTTCAGATTTTTGGTGTGCCGGCCTTTTAGAAACTTTTTTGTTTTTTCGCTACAAAACAAAGTAGAAAAGGGCAATTTTATCATGCGAATTCGCTTGAATGCTGCCCGAAAAACCCTGTCAAGCGAAAACCCAACAATTTTATGCACCTTTTTTAGTTACTTGGAGAAAAGCGCTACTTGGCTTACTTATTAATAGCTTTTCATGCACCGTGCTTCTTTTGATGACAGCTAAACCAGGAATAGACAGTGGTTACAGTGAATGACGAGGGAACCAAAAGTGGGAAAGAGAGAGTGGACTCAACAATCAGAACGGAAAATACTAACTCTGCCACTGAAGGTACCCAACGCTTTTGGACATGTTAATAAAGTCACAGTCCCCTTGCAGATAATCTATTATCCAAAGTAAAAGACGTATTGCAGAGACAAACGGACCCACCATATCACAACCATCCATCCATTGGGTGGACCCCACCACCTACACTTTGATTTCTCATCAGATCCAGGTGCCAAGGTCCACCCTTTTACAATTTTAATCTCCGACTACCACATCGTGACCAAAAGACTAAAACCTTACAAAGAGAACTAGAATGGACCCAAACAGAACTGAACAGATGAATGAACAACAACCCCCCACCACCACCACCACTATTGACTCATACCGTCATACGTATGGCAGTCATGTCACCAGCTAGTGACTTAGATTTGGTTTGGTACACCTAGAGCCTCTGCATCTTCCGACTCTGGTTTCTTCCGCCAATTGCTTTGAACCATCACGAGATGGGTCGAAACTCACTGGTTGGAAGTCCTCAGAAGGAAATTCCATCCTCTCAAAGTGGTTCACCAGCTGCTCCATGCCCTGTTAAATGTTTAATAACCTACATAAGTTGTGTGAAACCGAAATACTGAAACAGAAGAACGTTTTTAACGTTGAGAGTAAACATTGTTAGGTTTATATATATATATACCTACCTGGAGTTTAGCACAATATATTTCACAAATCTTGTGTGACTGAAAATATTGCCAACGTTTATGGTGCCATGCATCGAAAAACTTCCTAGCAGCTTGTGGGCTTGTGAAGTTTACAAATGCATAACCCTTGTTTGACTTGGTACTGCCAACCACGGCGTTATCACTCTCATCAAAACTCGAAAGAAACAACATAAAAGTGCAAACGGTATAAGAAATAAATGGAACAAAGTAGAGTTATTGGATTATAAAATTATTGAGGGATATATGATAATTTCTGTAACATACACAAAATCCATCGGAAGGTACAGGAAATCGAACGCTGACAATAAAGGTTCTTCATCTGCATCAACATTCTGGGATTGTACCTGATCTCTATTCGTCAGCATGCAATGCTGGTCAAGAAAATCCTTCAACATCTCCCGCCTGCAGGAAGCCAAAGTACTGAATTCAGGGGTTAGAGAGAAATTAAAAGACTAGAATTAAAATTAAAAAAAAAAAAAGAAAAAAGGAAACGAGCCATCAGTTATCAGACTAAGTATCAAAAGATTCAAAACCCAAGAAATGGAGGAACTGTTCATCCAACTGTTTTGAGCAAAGAAATCAAAAGAAAATAAGGAAGACCAAAAACCACGTGCCAAGTTCGTCTAACTCATTGGGCAACCCCAAGGACCCATCCTCGAAGTATTAAACATAGCAAACTCAGACACATAACTGATCGAATAAATGCTCAGACTTAATTACAAGAAAAAAGAAAAGACAACCAAAAAATACTTCAACCTATATCATTTAATTTAGCTGCCTTAGTAGTAAAAAGAAAACAAAAAGGCTGAAATGCATTGTATATAGCACATATATATGAAAATAAACCAAATGATCATACGTGTATCTGTTTGGTACGTTCCTTATCATGATCGTCGTTTCCTTTCCGTCATATTTTAGTGGAATCGGTGGATGTTTCTCTCTCTTGTTATTACAGGCCCAAACTTGAACATTCCTTGGGTAGTCAAACGAAGCTTCAAAATTTCTACCAAAATGATGGTCTCCAGCATCACTACCAGGCTTAGCCCTCCAGTGTTTCTTGCGCGATTGACCGTGATCAGCCCTTACAAACCCTTCTTTCCCATATCTTTTATTCCTCAAAAAATGCTTACTTCTATTGCTTCTCCTGGCACCTCCCACGTTTTCCTTTCGACCCATGACTTTGGGCTTCTGCGCTTCTTCTTCAAGCACCATCTCAGTGTTCAAAGGTTCCAGCAAGGAAGAGACCGGTTCAGTCACCGGCGCAGCAACAGCCGCCTTCTCTGGGGTGAAGAAATGGAGCGGTACCGCATGCTGATGTGGGTAGGGGTAAAAAGGGTGAGAGTAGAGTGGAGCTGAGAAAGCATGGGGATAAGGAGATGGTAGGGTTTGATAGTGAAGCAAAGGAGGGTTTTTGGGTGAAAACACGGGACAAGGATCTGAAACTAGAGCATTTCTAGCAGGGAAAAACTCCGGAGCTTCTGGGTTTAAGCTATTTTGAGTATGAGCAACATCAGTTCTTTCCTCCATGTTCACCGTAAAACAGTAGTACGGCTCCAAAGCATGACCATTGGCCCATGACCTTCTAGCTATATATCTGAGCTGTACGTACTCTGTTCTTTTTCTTCTCAATATCAAATTTAAATTTATCCGGTAATTTTGATATATATTGTTAGTATAATAGGTATACAATATGATTTGAAAAATGTATTTAAAGACGCACCAAGCGCGTGAGAGAAGGCGCGTATGAGACCTTCTGTCAACGAAAGATACAGGTGATGATTAAAAATATACACGAGCCATTGAATGCCTGGATTTGGTGGCAAGGGAGAAGATCGTATTCGAAAGCTAGAGGAAGTAACCGGACAATGTGTGAAACTGACGGCGAATGTTCCCTTCATTTATTAGACAAGAAGCCCTTGTCAGTCCGTCAGAATTCAGTACTCTATAGCCTCACCTCTCACCATTGGCTATTACTCATTTCGTATCAAATCTTCGTTTGATGGTTGGCAAGCAAATTGGGCTAGCCTCCTCCAGTTTTCACATTTGGTGGCAACACTTTAGTCTTTGGACAGACGCCACCATCTTGGATTTGTTGCGCGTTGTTGCTGGTTTATAATTTGTTCTTCCTACTGCTTTTGGACGTTGGGAAGCATGTTGGCAAGCAAGTCATCCTAGAGGGCGATGCATATATTTTAATGGGATTGTTTATATTATTTGATTTAATTAATTAAAACTGTAATATTTTATAATCAAATTCCAATAATAAAATCATTATTGTGAGTTTTAAGTAATATTATTAAGATATTTACTATTCGAATTTGATAATAAAAAATAATTATAATTTTATATATTATTTTTACTTGTAAATTTTTTATAAATAACATAATACTTTATTAAAATTAATTAATTATTTTAAATATATAATTTTAAACTTTAATTTATTTTTATGAATTAATTTTTATTTATTAATTTAATTTTTATTAATAATATATATTAATTTTAAATTTACCTTATTAGAACATTTAATGGATAATGTTTAAAATATTTGAGTACCAATTCAAGTAACATATCAAAAAAAATCAAATATTTATAAAAATATATATATATCTTATCAAATAATAAGATTTAGATTAAAATATCTCAAAAATAATGAATATTCTGCCCGTGGAGATCTTAGATGGTGGAGAAAAGATTAGTTACTATACTTAGTGGACAAATATTCGAATACACCAAGTCAACCGCTTTATTCCCAGCGTTGGTCAACTATATTTTGATGTCTCAAGTTCATTATTTTGGCATATTACACAGGTGGGGTTGGAAACAACAGGTTCCAGTTGAAATTAACTGATCTTACTCCTAAAATACAAGAGGGAATCGGAGGGAGGAATTATAACAAATTATGCAAGCAGAAAAGGCACATAATCACAACTTATTTCACCAAAATTAATGACATTACCCGTAGTTTATGTAGTTGATCCTTCAAAATGAAGGCTCTCACTAGCCACTACATCAATTGGGCACCCTTCAATGCCAACAAAGCAGCTCCGTATGCAGCCTCTGTCTGAGTTGCTCGACTCACAGGTAAACCAAGTACCCTCTCTCGGATCCTTGTCCATTTGTCATTTTTTGCACCACCTCCGGCGGTGAACACTTCCTCCACTTGGGTTGCTCCTAGATCCTTCAACAAGCTGTAGGCCTTTGCCTGAATACAGGATCAAAAGAATGTGCATTTTAGAATAACTTTCATCAGTAGCAAGGCATGCCTCCTTCTTACAAGCATATAAATCTTAAACAAGGGGCCTCTCCACACCTCTATACGGGCAATTGATTCCAAAATACCATGCAAGTACTCTACATCACTTTCTGGGCGTGGATGTAACCTGTACAAAATTGAAAAACAGTTTTTTCAATCCAACCCGATTGAACCACTAGTCCTATATGAGACTATACATAATGTAAATCGGAAAAGGAACAAAAACATAGGCATGGAAGATATTCTTCTATAGAAACTATTGCTGTCATATTAATCTGCATTGGTTAAATGGCAGAAATAAGGGTCCCAGGCATTTCAAATTCACATCATGAAACACACTATACTCACTAAGTTCCTTATGCAGTCAACTAGCATAGATATTATGCTTCTAAAATACCTAGCAGATTACAGTGGAAGTAGGAATCAGAACTTGTAATCATATAAAAAATCCTTATGAGAAATATCCTTCTCAAGAACTGTATAGAATATGTGAATGTTCTAATGGGAAGAGAAAGAGAGAGAGAGAGAGAGAGATATTAAATACCTTGGCTCCATCTTAGGATCTGCCACAGGGAATCTCTCTCCGACTGATTTTAGGGGATAGTAGTCTAAGGGAGAGGTCTCCATGGGATTAATATGTTCACTCAGTTTTTCCAATTGCTCGTCAGTGAAAATTTCCTTAAGAACTGCTCCACCAGTATTTGAAGCTCCTCCAACAAGCCACTTATCATCAAGGCGATGACTATACACCCCATATCTTGCATCCTCTATCCTAGTTGTACTTAGCAGTTTAATTGCAAGGGTTGAACCCAAAGAGGTGACCTACATAAGAAATAATGTGTAATTGACGAAACTCATAGAAAAACAAACATGCTGATTGTAATTAAAGTCTCTCAAAAATGAAGTAAAACACACCATAGCAGGCCAGACAAAATAAGAACATCATGAACAGAAAAATAGCAGACAGATGTCTGCCTATATTTACTTTGGCAACAATGAACTAAATATGACACGGATTGAGGAAGACTATCAAGGCCATAAGGGACAGCTTGATGAATCTGTATGCCAAGCAACAAAAAGCCACTTCCTTTTTCCTGATAAACACAGATCAAAGCCAAATGATGAATTCTAACCGCTTTCCCAGGTTTTGTTGCACGTGCTGCAAGAAAGGCTGCTATACTATCAGTGGTCCCAGTACATACAATGCAGTCTTCTGAAAAACCTGCTATGATGTATTTTATAAAATATTAATTGCAGTTTCAGAAGTTGAGGGCAGGTTTAACTTGCAATCAACAATCAGCAATCATGAACACATAAATCCAGAGCAATTACTGCATAATTTTCCAATTTCCTTATCAAAAGTTTCAACTATTTCTCTTTTCAGAAGAAATAATTATAAAACTCAAAGATATTAAACCTTCATAATGCTAAACTCTTTAAGCAGTGCAAAATATCAAATTTTACTTTGTCTAATAAGAATGCAGAACCTCACATTCTACCAGTGCAAACTGCCAAACAAACTATCATGCTTAAACCACACAATTATCTGCCCTTCGAACCATCTAGGCAGGCATAGAAGCTATTTGACGGAACAAATGCATACCAAATAGTGTTCTAACATCCTCTTTCAAATGGGCGATCGAAGTTCCAGGAGCTTTGACCACAGGTAAAAGTCGCGAATAAGGCTGAGATAACAGCCAACGTGGATAGGAGTCCAGTTCAGGATCATAACCAACCTAGACACATAGGAGCAATTGCATCATCATTCATTGCTTAAATTTGCTGAAGCTTGCAGATTACCAGTAGGAATTAAAATCCTAAAGTTATGATTAATGAGTTATTCTATGACCTTCAAAGCATTATTGTAATCAGAAACTCCAAGCTGCCCATGGAGAAGCCACAACAACCAATCAGCTTGATGCAGTAATATTGTAGATGTTTTGTCTGAATTGTCATTGTTCCACCATGAAACAAGCTTGCACAGGGTAGAGGAACCAGAGCAAACTGTATGGTTTACAGGAGCAATGGACTTTACCACTGGCAAAGCATCGGGACAACTCTCATTGTAGAGGTAAGGTCTGGCTAATGGTTCTCCTGTATTGCTGCAGGTGATACATTCAGATACCACACTGAAATCCAATCCAGGAAATGAGAAGGAAAATACTACATGGATCAGCAAATAATTTCTTAGATAATCACCTATCAATAATGAGAGTAGTTGCAGAAGTCCCATCAAGAGAAATGGAAGCAACGTGAGGACGGAGATGAACAGGAATATCTTCAAGCAGTGAGAAAAGAGTTGTTTTCCATGACCGTGCCCAATCCATTGTTTCTTCCCTCTTTCTAGACAACAGAAACAACATAATCAACATGGCAGGGTGCAAACAAGCACCATTTTCTTCTTCTTCATGCACATAATTGAACACATGGGAAACAAAAGTAAATAAACATGCCCAATTTGAACTCTAAAATGTCTGCAATTCTATGTAAATTTTAAATCATTCAAGCAATTTCAAAGAAAGATTACTAACTAATACTAGAATGAAGTATTATATTGAGATGAAGTCATCAAGGATTATTAGCTCTAACCATGTATTGAGGATACTGTCTCTTCCTTTCAGCATGAATTGTCCCTTGCTTGTCAATCAAAGCATACCTAGCTCCAGATGTACCAAAATCCATTCCAAGATAAAGCCGTTCACAAGCTTGAAAACCCACTTCTTGATTCTCTTTCTTACATCCAACCACCATTGTTTTCAGCCTTGCTGATTTATCTACGCAATTCTTGTACGCCCAAGTTCCTACAAGCAACCTCCTTGCAGTACAACATCCTGGAGATATATATATATACACACCATGTTACACTCAGCTAAGTCCCTAAACGACCATAGGACTCGCATTTTATTCATGTCAAATACCTACTTTTTTTAAATAAAAAAAAATACAAATCTTACAGTTCGCTGGAAAAATATTAGCATGCAGAAAGTACACAACTCAAGACATCTGACACTAAAAATTTATTGCAAGAAATGTCTTAAGTGATGGTTGAGATGGAAAAAGTACCTGGTTTGGGGGGAGATGGATAGAGAACCTGTGTAGAGAGTGAGGATTGGCTAATTGAACCAAGCATGTTTTGGCACCTTTCTTCTGGCACCTGTACCTCTTTCCCTCTGAGGTTTGTAATGGATATTGGATAAGCGAAATTACTACTGTTGGATCGTTCTACTGATTCATTGATTGATTGTGGTTCGGATTCGGCCCTTTGATTGGATTGGGCTCGTATATAGCTTTGGCCCAGGCT